ATACCCGCCTCCAAATAATCCTAAAGAATCTTTCTATTTCACTCGACTCAGAAAACTGCTGACACCCTGCAATCCCAAAAAAATTCTTTTTTTAGCTGTTTCTGATTTGTGTCTGATCCCCTTTTGGATTTATCAAATGGGATCCCTCTTTGTATACTCTCTCTCCCTCCCTCCCTCCCTCCCTCCCTCCCTCTCTCTACACACACATAAATGGATATCACAAAATAATCTGACCCTCTGTCTACACACACATAAATGGATATCACAAAATAATCTGAACGACTGGTATTGCTTCCACGGAAGCAGCTCCGGATGCATATTTGCATCCAGCATGAAAAGATAAGCTAACATAGTTTTGTCTAGTTCACTTAGTTTCACCTGTAGAAATTCTGCAGGTCTCCTTTTAAGGAATTAGACATGTCATTGTTTTAATTCGTCACCATTTAATTTATAAAGTTTTGATTGTGGACATGCAGGTGTTGGTGATTGCTGTTTTGTTGAAAATGATAATGAAGCGCCGGTTTTCAATAATTCAGGTTAGTACCCTTTCTGTTTGTTCATCTCTTTAGCCAAGTAAAAGAAAATATTTTTTTCTTTTACTCCAGCTTTTCTGTTCTTTTCCTGTTTCTACAAATGGGGAGTAGTCAGTTAGAACTTTGGATCATCTTATTTGAACACATTCCTGTGGATGCTATGATTGCTATATCTTATCACACTGATATTACTTTGATACAGTGGGAAGCCCTTGCTTTGTTGCTCATTGGGATTAGTGTAAATCAGTTACGATCTTTACCCGAGGGTTCTATTGCTTTAGGTCTTCCAGTTTCAACAGGCGCATACATCTACACATTGATCTTTGTAAGTGATTAATGATATTTGTTGTTTCTACTGGTGATGTCCTCCTGTTTAACACGCACCTTTAGGTTCATAACTTTTTTCGCTGGCTTGAATAGAGTATTCTTGAAAATTATGTTCCAAGACGTTTTATGCATGTTGGAGACTTATCTCAGATTCATCTTACAGGTAACAGTTCCATCGTTGGCCTCTGTCTATAATGAGTATGCTCTGAAGAGCCAATATGACACAAGCATATACCTCCAGGTGAGAAATAGGACTTTTATGACTTGTTTCTTTGCTACTGCATGAAAGTAACTGAGGTTATTATTCAAGGATGTTGAGGAATGGTTTTCTAAAGGTAGCACATAGTTATTTGCTTCTGTTCTTGTAATCAGTGTCACTACTTACCTGATTTGGCCTAATCTAGCATCAACATGGATCTTGGTTACTCGTGTTGTGATTTTATTTTTGGTGGAGCTATCTGTTTGGTTTCTCTAAATTTACCCAAGTGATGTATGGATATGGTTGTATTTGGGTTGGAATTTGAAAATGATGAGCATGCTTTTGTCTCTTGGTACTTAGTTTAGTCCATGAAGTTGAAATGCTGCCAGAGTTTCTCTGGATTTTTGGTTGTATAAGGAAAATAAGACAGTTTGCCACAATTTTCTTGTATTCCACTGACGTTGAAGCGTATTACATACCGACAATATATCCACGAGATGTCGGCAACAAGGTGGAAGGATATGCCTTTATCCTTAAACACAGACTATTTTAAATAATTGGTTCGTCAGGGCCATTTTTCACATTATTTTAGATGCCTGGCTTCATCTGTGACCAATTTGCTTGAGTATGAACCTAGAGTTTCTTAACCATATCTTAGCAACTTGTGTCTCATTGAATATAAGTCAGTCTCATTGTATATGCTTTGTTAAATTCAAGTTTGGACAGTTATTGAAAAATGACAAATATAAGTCAGTCTCATTGTATATGCTTTGTTAAATTCAAGTTTGGACAGTTAGTGAAAAATGACAAATACAATTCAACAATTTATCGTCTTCTTTTGGCTATGCAGAACTTATTTTTATATGGGTATGGTGCGATATTCAACTTTCTAGGAATATTGGTAATGGCCATTGTCAAAGGTATGAACAACACTATTTTTATCGTTTCTGCAGAGAAATAAAATGTTTAAATATTTTTATATATATAAACATTCTAAAAGATAGTCCCATGTACAGAAGTAGTACATGACATTTTGAGACCATAAAGCAAGTTTAGAATCCAAATGCATTGAAAGAGAATTTCATTACTGCTCTCAGAGTGCCACCTTTAAAATTTATCTTCAGATATTTAAGATGGCTTTAATAGTTGGTTGGTTTGATTTTCTATTTAACCACGTGCTTAAGGAAAAAATGGGTTTATTTGGAAAAATTTTCTTTAGTAGTTGCTTTCAAAATTCTGGTCCAGATATCAAAGCACTAATAGAAGAAGCAATGAGCCCCAAACAGAGAAAATAAATCCTCACCTTTTCCAAGCTTAAAGGCATTTTTGTAAAGGATGAACCATGCTCTTATACATATATCATCTCTTTACCAATACCTCTGCTCTCTGAATAAAACTATTCACTAAATTTATCATAAACAATAGTTTGGATAGGAATGTCACCTGAACTTCCTTGGGGCATTGTATTCTCCGAACTTCCTTCCAGGGGGAACCATATGCATACAAACCTTAATTGGAAAAATTAAGATCACTGGTCGACTACTCTCATTTCTCACATATAATATTCAATGTACAGATTCAAATTTGTTGACTCTAGTAGCACCACTACTTATATCCTTAGCTATATTTTACCCATCAATATGGTTTTGGATAGGATTGTTGTTCAATATAGTTAAATGGTATAGGAGGGTCCAATTTACAGATAAGAACTTCATTGCGCTTTTGCAGTGGTATTCTGTTGACGAAATTTTATGAAATTTCGAAATAGGTCTTTTGAGCTGTAACTTCATGTTTGAATGTTTCAGGTCCAGGTAGCTTTGATATCCTTCATGGTCATTCAAGAGCTACAATGTTTCTGATAGCTAACAATGCAGCACAAGGAATTCTGTCCTCTTTTTTCTTCAAATATGCAGGTTAGTTTCCTGCAATAGCAACTTTAGGTAGGTTTATATGTCATGCCAGTTTGGTACGGAAACACTTGCTGTAATATCAAGATTGCTCCTAAGTACACTTTAAGAAGGGCGAGATTTTGTTTTCAGCTTATGATTTCATCAACTGTGACAGTTTTTTGTTAAATTTCATTTTCTCGCCTCTTTAATCAAAGGATGCCATTCAATTTTTTACAGATACAATTCTAAAGAAGTACTCGTCCACAGTGGCCACTATCTTCACAGGCATAGCATCTGCTTTGCTGTTTGGTCACAAATTGACTATGAACTTTGTTTTAGGAATTTCTATTGTCTTCATTTCGATGCACCAGGTAGTCTCTTGAGTCTTCTTTTTTCACATTAGTTGATAATAATATGAAGATCTATTTTCAAAAGAAAAAAAAGTGTGTAATTTAGAGAGACCTTTCTATAGATTTCTATTTGTTTTCTTATCAAATCGTTTGCTGACCATTGTTTCTTTTATTTTTCTGTATAGTTCTTTTCTCCCATTTCAAAAATCAAGGAGGAGGAACAAAATGGGAAGCTGGAAATGATAGATGTCGATGATAAACTCAGGTATCTGCTCATTCTTTTCACCCATGGCAGCACTAGTTGGGAGTTTGATGTACAAATTACTGTGTTCCTGTTGTATGCTTGACATAAACACCAAGGAAAGAATCAAATCTTTCATTGTTAGGCGCTAACAGGACTAGGCCACTAAGGATAATGATTTTAAGAATTTTATGTACTTTCGATGTTTTGCCTTTTCTATAACACCAGTTATATGGTATACATAAATCAACCAAAAAAGTGGGAACGATGGAACCTCAACTATGGGGATTTTGTGGAGAGGCTCAAGGAGAAATTCATTGGAAATTCATCATGGTTACTAACGTAGTTTGTTTTCTGGATTCAGGTCAAAGGATTCCTTTATTAATATGGCAGCAGGGGCAAATGAAGAGGTTAGAATTGCAAATTACTGTCTTGTAAATAATATATATTTATCTTATATATGCCTCATTCTTTTCTTACAAGTCTACCTTTTCCAGGCTAGTCACCGACCAGGCCCTGACGAAAAACAGCCCCTTCTTCCCATCTAAAAGTTAATTGGAGTATGTTATTGCTCTTTCACTACTAGTTGGATACATGCATCTGCTGCATATTTTACTTGACCATGTTGACCGACATATTACCAACAAAAAAAAACGCATTGAACAACAATTAAACTGGACTAGTTATACATTTTGCAGCGATTAAATTAACTGTCACGTCTAGAAACCAGCTATATAGATCCCTTTTTTCCCTGTTGTAAAGCTAGAGTGTGCAAACAATGTTTTACGAGACATTATTTAGTCTGTCAGAGAAGAAAAATGTGGAGCCTTCCTAAATGCCATATGCTATCAGCCTGAGATCTTCAATTGTAGCTGGCATAGCTGGCTTTGTTCCGTGCGTAATCAGACTGTTTGTTATTTTGATGCAGGATTTTTTTTCTTTTTTCTTTGAAGGAATTCTTTTGGCAGGAATTGCAATGATACAAGGGATGAAGCAAAGCGAGGTTCCTCAAACATTCAATAAATTAATCCGAGAAGAAACACTTTTTATACTGTTTATCGGGGATCCCTCTTCCCATGTCACGGGGTTTCCCTAAGTTGGTGTGTAAAGCGGTTTATAAACGAATTTTGGAGGATACACGCCGTTAGGTGATCCCAGTTTTTTGCTGCAGGAAATTGGGATAGAGAGAGAGAGAACAGTAATATGTTGTCGACAAATATTGGAATCCTACATGCACTTTACTTAAGCTTTACCAATGTGATTTGTAATAGCGTTTCTATGCATTCTTTGCCTTGAATCACATGGGTATTTGACCCCCAATGTCAATTTTTGTATGTTTCTTTTTGTTTCATTCGGAATTAGATCCATACATCGTCATGTGTAAGTTTTGGCATTATTACACCGTGATGTCATAGTGATCGTAAACTTGTTCCATGTAAATTGTTTTCTGGAAGAGGAGCATAAAAATGATCAAATATCATTATTCGCTAATTGCCTCATTTCAATTTGAGAATGTTACATATATTTTTCGGACACCATTGCCTGTCGCAACTCGATCTTGAAATCCATATCGAACTCAAATAAGCACCTTTGAATGTGTAAATGGTTGTTCAGTAAGTGAACAAGCGAGCTTGAAATCACCAGGTCGTATTAGATCAACTTAATAGCATGCCAAATGCTGTATTCTCCACGCCAAAATGCAAGACACCATCTACCGTAACATATCGCTTTTAGGTTCTGCTAGAAATGCTCGACGGTTTCAGTTTCATCTTCTAATGCAACAGGAGATGCATCTTCGACGTTCACCTGTGAAAAGTGAGAAAAATGTCATACAGATGACAATCCCGTTCGAGGAACTAAGGAGCGCGAATTTCTAATAGGAACAAACAACTATCACATCCATAATTGAATGTCAGAGAGGGAGCAAAAGGATACACAACTAAGATGCCCAGTAGTCCGAGAAATTCAGAACATAGGTGGAAAGCCTATTTTGTGAAAACCCGCTTAGCAAGAGCATAATCGAGTAACAAATCTGAGTCCTTTTTTACTGGATAATTGTATGAACTAGAGTCAACGCGGAGAAACATGTGAGTCTTCGGGATTTCGTATAGGCAAACTTTTTATGCAAGTTTGTCGACCCATTTCATGTTGCACTTCCAAGATTTATCCTATAGTTCTAAGCATTCATCAGTTTGAATGTACCACAAAATCGAAACAGACAAACCACACAGATTTCAGTACACAACAGAGTACATAAACATCACAACCGAAGTTTAAAAAAGTATCGAAGTAACCATTCTAAACTATCATCCCTGCAATCACTTTATAAAAACTAACACGACCATGCTAGTGAATATGGTAAACTGAAGAGCATTTGGGAAAGAATGTAAATTTCCGTAGCCACTCTACTTTAAAATTGCATGATCAATAATAGGGCAGTACGACCACCAGCCATGTTAGTCCTACATTGTTGGGAATGGGAATATCGAGCACCCCCTTCGATATGTTTTAAAATTATAAAAAAGGGAACACACATACGCAAGGATACACATAGAAGGAGCAATGCACACTTACTATCTACATGACGCAGACTAATACCAGTCATCTAAACAGAACAACCTAAAGGAAAACAGGAGCTGGGCTATTTAATTAAGGTTTCCCGTTGCTGGAGAAAAATGGGAGAAAAAGTAGAGAGATTTCAAAATTTTGATTTTTTATAAAGGAAGTGAAGAGAAAATATATTCATAATATCTCTCAATAATGTTAAGCCAAAACACCTAGATTAAACCAAAAAAATGGAGCAAACACTCGGTGATTAGCAGTACCATGAGGCCCATCTTTGGCGAATTCCTGAAAGGAGGCACTGCAACTTCCCAAGCTTTCTGCTACAACATAAATTGACCATAATTAATCTAAAACATTGAATAAGGTTTACAAGGGTCGAAAAACTACAGTATAAAAGCAGCTTCTATGGTAACTAATCTGCAACAAAATTTACACAGATGTGTCAAAAGGCAAACTCACCTATCCAGTGTTTGCAGTAGTAGCCGATGCAGAATCTCTCCGAATAGGGCGGGACGGCTTGTTGACATAAGAGGAATTCCATTCCCCTCCATCCAAAGCATAATAGTCCATGGGATAATCCCCAACAACATCTTCTTCCCCAACCCGATTTCCATTAGCACATGCACAACCAGAATCACTCTTCTTATTTTTGTCCCACCAAGGAGGAATGAAGCCAAGAGCAATGTCAGCCTCAAAAGGATTCAAAAGGGGCTTTGTAAACGAATCGCCCCAGTCAATGGACAAGCGAGGACAAGCAATCTGAATCCAAGCATCGACTGAGTCTTCAAACAGAGCAATTCTCGGAGGACTAATCTCTGACATCAAAAACACGGTATAAGAAAAACCTTCGTCCTTCATTTTCTTTTCCAGTCTCTGTAGAATCCTGGGATTGCCTTGCCTTCCTAAAGTCCCCAACACAACGCCCCAATTCGAGGCTTCCTTTGCTTTCAAAATTGCGCTCTTCCTTGACTCCCTCATCCCCTTGTGATCATATTCCTCCAAAAACAGTTTCCCCATATATGGGTCGTACCGAAACGTCTTCAGCCCCGGATTTGCTATCATAATCGCTTCTAAATGAAAACGCCCATCTGCCACAAACACCATTACGCTCTCCTCTTCCTCCTCCTCGTTGCCTTTGGTTATTTTGCGTGAGATTTTTGGGGCAGTACAACCCAAAACCTCACCGGCAGACAAGGGTTTTGACTGTGGAATGAGGACCTTGAAACCATTGGTTTCAAGCTCAGGTTTGGCTGCTCGAATTGCGGAGGCAAATTGGATTGTTCCAGCAAGCACCAGGTTTTTACAGTGAGAGTTTTGGAGGTTGAGATGGACGGTCTGGATTAATCGGGAGACATCAATTGAGATTTCAACGAAGACGTAGAGACAGGGGATTGAGGTGACGTGGAGTGGGACAAGGCAACTGTGGCCAAAGTGGATGAGGAGGTCAGCATCGAGTGCCTTGGCAGCAAGGTCGTCTACACAGCACGCGCCGTAGGTTGCGTCACCGAGAACAAAGCACTGGGAGACACCGCCGAAGGTGGAGAGGATGTCAGAGAGGACCAGAGAGTACATGAGGAGGCCCTCGGGGAGTTGGAGGGCCACCCGTGAGGCATTGGTGGAGCGCACACGCCAGACACACTTGTGGACTTCAAAGTTGTAGTTGGAGGGAAGGAGGGCTATTGCAGCGTTCAGAGCTGAGTCGTGGAGGATTGAGTCCGGAATTTGGTTCCTCACAAACCGCTTTGGTGGCGCATGCGGTTTCCTTGTCTGCTGAGAATCAGGGAGAGGCAACAGACTAGACTCCTGCACAATGTCAGGCCTCTAAATTAATAATAACAAAATGTATTGTACCAATCCAGGCTTTATTAATGGATGATTAGATAATTTCCTCTTCGTTAGCACGAAGCTCTTCTCAACCAAACAAATGACTAAGATCAAAACACTTAAACAACAACATCCGCCTACAGATAATCTGGAGTCCGGATCTACCATTCAGACTAAACATAATAAGGACGAGCATACTTAATCCAGAAAAATTGCAAAAATACAAGTAAATATGGCCACAACATATTGTATAGCCATTCCAAGAACTATCCTTTATGCTTTCCCGTTAATAAAATCAGGCAAATTCGGGGCGAAATTTTCTTTCCCACTTATTTTCTCAGCACCCAAACAGAAAAAGAGTTACAGGTGCCCCTAAATAACCAAAACCCATACGCATTAAACCCAAAATGCAAAAGGAAAACATATATACCTACAATTGTGGCACAGAAGAAGAGATAAGCATGATCAAAGAGCGTGTGAATCCTATCTCTAACTCAAGCATCCGATACAGTGGCAAGCAACAAATTGAAGAGGATTGGATGTGGAACCGAGTCAACTCACCTGGCTGGGATCCATATCTTAAAACTCGGAGGGAAAATTGAACTATAGCTTGTGCCTCACAGGGATGAGCATAACCGAAGGCAAACAGACCTCGGTCCTCTGTCTCAACTCGCAAGAAGAATTTCTTAGCTCTGTTCTTATGTAATCACTTCAATGGCTGCCACACGCGTATTCAACTGCAACCCACCATGAAAGATGCTCAATGACGCCCGACTGCTATGGAGAAGGGAGGCGGCATCTATGAAATGAAGCCCAAACGGAAGAAAAGGAGTTAAATGTGGAAGAGAGAGGAGGAGGAGGAGGTGGTGGGGGAGAAGGAGGTCGCAGCTGGAGTTGTTAGGGTTTAGGGAGGGGGCAGTAAGCGTACGAACAAAGGAGGTTTTTTGTTTTTTTTGGGGTCAGAACGAATAAGGAGAAGTCGAGGTGGCTGGTGGGGTGGTAATTTGATTTTTGGATTAAAAATAAATAAATAAAAGTAGAAAATTAATGAAAAGTCTTAAAAAAACTTATCATTTTTTAAGGGGGGTAATTTCATTTTTGGATATAGAACGAATAGGTTTAAAAGATGAGAGAATTAAGGATATACACCAGAAATACTAATCCAATCCATAATGATGTGCCGAAAAATTTGACATTTTTGTTACCCAACCAACCCTCAAGAGAAGCAAATAGGTACACTAATCAATAAGATTCTAATCCTCCAATCTACCAACAAAAAAATTATACCATTTGATCCCATTATCAGCCAAAAAAATGTAAAAAAAAAAAAAAAGCATCGTGTAAGGATTTTACCATGAATCCTTTATTTATTTTACTTTACAAATTTTACAAAGGGGCATGCTTGCTGGATCATGCATCTATATGATATATGTATACAAAATAGATAGACCTATAGATTCACCCGATATTTTTATGTAGATAGTAATGGTATCAACTCCTTCGTGTTCTATGGGGTGGAATAAATATATTTTAATACTAAGAGGGGTAAGAGTTTGACAAAATCACATAATAAGCAGCCTAATTTGATATCGAATTCACCATCCACGAGATTTAAACCTAAAACTTCTCACTTCTAAATAAAGAAAAATATCACCAGACTATAGTACTGAATGACTATTTTTTTTTTTAAATCTAAAATTACATAATGAACTTTGTTTTAATCATAAGGACAAGAATCGGTGGCAGTATGATAATTATATTGAATTTGAGGCGCGCTAATACTAATATTCTAATAGTGGTACCGCCAACTGTTTATTCATGTATACTTCATATTTCGCCTCAGCTCCATATATTATTTTTAAGAGGTGAACTATGATGCCTTAATTGTCGTGATGATCAGGTATGTAGACAATCTAAGAGATTTTTTTTTCCTTTAAAAAGAGGGACAACTGGTGGTAGGCCACGGTTATTCACTATTTTCGAGGGCCGGAAAGACTCACAGAGATATTTTAGCATCTCCCTAGCCACAAATCCGGTTTTCAAATCAGCAGTGGGTTTCAAACTCAAGACCTCCTATTTTTAATTTGAAAGAAGCATCGCAAGCCACCATTTACCACTAAACCACCAATGAGTTGTTGACAATCTAAGAGTTAGATGCAACAACAAAATCTCGGGTTCGTATTTGGGTGAACAGCCTTGATGAACACGATGGTGCTTTAACACAAATTTAATCTCTCTTCTTTGTAGGCAATATACATACCATAGCATTTAAAACAAATAGATAAATGGTTATTTAGAGAAAACAAGGTTATTGACATTAAAAATAATTGTAAACTTGGATAAACTTAATTTAAATCATATACGACACAATCAATCTCTAAAGAACAGAAAATTGAATTGAATCGTACCAGGCTTTACTAAAATTATTACTCATTTTTGTACTTGTTGTTTTATTTTTTAATTATTTCTTTAATTAAAAAAATAAAATAATAAATAGTATAAAAGGAATAATCCGAGAAATCTTCCCAACCCAACTAACAATTAGTTGGATGGGCTGGGTTGCCTAAACCCGAACCGAACCGGCGGGCCGGTCGCGCCAGTGAGAAGTAGGGAACCAACCAATTAGGAAAACAAAGAAATGAAGCGCGGGAGGGAAATTGGACGGATGAGGAGATTTTCGGTAGTCGTCGTTAACAAGAAAGTTTCCCAACAATTCTTCCCCCAACTCCACACTCCACCACTCTTCCTTCTTCAAACCATACGCTGTTACACCACCGCCGCCGCCGCCGCCGCCACCAAATTTACAGACTCCGACAGAGTGAGCAGCTGAGCTCCAATTTCCAAACACAAAATTCATGATATGAACTTCTCCACCCACGCTCACGCTCTCACCACTCACTCTCCACTCCACCGCTTCACCACCGCCGCCGTCGCCGCCCCATGTCAGTCCTCCTTCTCCTGCTCCATGCCCCGTCCCCCCAATCGCAACCGCAGAACTCGCCGCAATCGAAACACCACCCGCCCCACCACCACCACCACTACCACCTCCACCACCATTAAACCCTATTTCTACCCTCCTTCACCATCCAACCCTGATACTCTCCAAGCCACCTTCGACCTCGATTACATCTACCACACCTCCCACTCCACCCTCAACCAATTCATCTCCGACTCCTCCGACGCCCTCCAAGACCTCCGCACTCTCGTCTCTGTCGACGCCGGTAATCGCGTCATCGTCTCATGTCGCCCTTCCACGCTGCGTTTCGTGGGCAATTTGGTGATTATCACCTTCTCCGTCGTTTTGGGGTTTAGGGTTTTGGTTGCCTTGGTCAGGTTAGGGTTTAGGAGTCGGTCTGGGTATGGCAAGGAGGCGACGGTGGTGAGGCGGGATAGGAGTCTCGGGGGAAAAGAGGTTGTGGTAGGGATAGTGGAGAAGGAGAGAGTTGATGCGAGGAAAAGAAAGAATTTTGGGATTTTGGATAATCCGCTGTCAATGCCGAAGAGTAGGATGGTGGATGGTTTGGGGAGGATGTTAAAGAATCCGGTTCGGTGGGCGAAGAAGCTGCCGAGCTGGTGGCCGAGCTCAGCACCGCAGCAGAGTCCGGGGGTGGATAAGGAGTACTACCAGGGAGAAGCAGACAGATTGGTTAGAGGTCTGTTTGTTTCCTTTTTCCTTTCATTTCTCACTTTTATATTTATGACTTTCTACGGTACTGTTTGCATATAGATTCATGTCGAAATTAATTTGGTTTCGGTGGAGTGGCATATATAACTGCAGTTTACCAAAATCTTCAAGTTTTCATTACAGTTGCAATTTAATATTTTCGAGTTGCTTAAATACCACTTAAGGAGCTCATATTAACTTGATTTCATTTGGGGTTTTCCTTTTGTTGTAGGTAAAATTGGCACACTTCTCAGAGTTTCATAATGTTTTGATCACAATTTACATCCTAATTGCCAACTCATCCACTTGATTTCCAGTGATCACAGACAATAGAATGAGCGGAAAGGACATAGGGGAGGATGACATTATTCATGTCAGTGCTTTTGTGTATCTAGTTGATTTGTGCATTACTTTTATGAAATTTACAGTCTCATGATTGGTTGATAAATACATAGGTAGGTGCTTTAACATACATGTTTTTGTAGGTTCACACACTTCTTATACGTATACATCATGAGATTTTTATAGATTTCTTTGTTGATGTAGCAGTAGCACTAATTCAGTTTAGGGCACTCTTTGTGAGGTTTCTGCTGATATGTTAGCCTAAAAAAGTGTAACATAACAATCTTGCTGTTAATAAGTTAATTGTTTGCAAGCATGTTTTACTCACATGGATACAATATTAAACTACTGTGCACCTAATGGAAGAGGGGACGTAGCTCTTGCACCATGTGAGAATGAATGTTTATATTATCTAAAGATTATGCAGAGTGTTACAATGTTTGTTACTATATTTGAAAGTTGTGGGTTTTTTTAGGATTTTTACAATATCAATGTTCATATGTGAGAACCTTGTTGATATGGGGAATTAAGAGGTCATGTTGGCATCAGTTTTGTCATACGGCTTTCTTATTTGAACCTCTGAAACAGTTCTAGCATACAATATTTTATTAAATTGACTCTTCGATTTTACTTGCATTGTCTTTCACTATTTTGACCCTTGCAAATTAAATTCCTTTTGTCTAAGTCTAACATATTTGTTAACCATGGACATTTCACAGGTTTTAAAAGTTTCACCAAAATGTTATTCTCCCTATATTTATTGTATATATATATATGTAGGATGATTTGAAAGAATCAATTTGTAGTGCATCAAGTGAAAATTAAAAAAAAAAAAAAAAATACTAAATACGATTCTATAGGGTTCTCTCTTGAAATATTATGTTCTCAAATTGTTTTGATGAGCATGTTTGGTTCGATGTATTGTTTGTGAATATCAATAGCTTGTTAAGTTTATATTTTGAGTTTTTTATTTAACATGTGCTCTCTAATGGATTGTTAACTGCTGGTAAACAATCCTTTCTATAAAATCTGAATCATTACCGTAATTTCTTTCTTGATGGTTTTATTACAATTTTATGCTGTGTTAACTGATCATTCATAATACATTGTATGTCCTTTGCCTGAGTGGGTGAGCAGTTACGTCAAATATGCAGGACATCTGGAGTACGGGTCTCCTTTGATACAACAAATACACGAGATTCGTTCTACCGGGTGTCTGTTGAATATGTCTTAAATGTTTGCAGCAGGTGTGATTCTCAGATGGAATGCTTCAACATTTCAGTAGTTTCCAATATTTTTCTTTGTTTCGGCTACTTTGCTTTCTCCTGGTGGTATAACTTATCTAGTTATATGACAGGGCCCCAAGTCATTCGACTTGTGTTCGGATTGACGGAGAAGATGTTTGCCATTTCATTGCTGGGCTTGCCGGGAATATTGGCCTTGACAACATTCGTGCTGCAAGAATTATGTCTGCAGCAGTGGCTGCACGTACACGCTCACGTTTTCTGCAGGCGTGGGTAATTTTTCTACTTTTGTTCTTTTGACCATGTTCGTGTCATAAGCTTGCAAGCAAACTGAAAATGATGTGAAGTGTCTCTCGTTGCATTGACAGTTATTTTGACATCATATTCTCCAAAAGCCAAAGTTAAAAAGAAAACTCGTGCACAATATTTGGGGGAATATTCTGTGAGAATGTAGAAGGTTAAATCTGAAATGAATGCTTTAGGGAATTATAGCTCTCTTTTCTGTTGTAGAGACATTGTGAGTATCAATCTCAGGCAGGTTTAGACCCTCTACAAGACTTACCCATTGAACTTTAATTTTGATTTGGAACAAAAATTAGCATGCCAGTAACTTATGCTGTAGAATCTCAATAATTCAGAACTTATAGAATCCAGTAATCTAAGAAAATAAAAATACGAGGCCTCCAATTAAAAAGACACGAAGCCTCAGTTATTTAGTTAACATTTCTGAAAACAATTCATCACTTTGTCAGAAATGATTACTAACTAAATTTTTGCTTCAACTTGTCTGTTTGGGGTCCTGGTATTCTTAATTTTTTATTTATTGGATTCTGTATTCATGGGAGTTTTTCGGGCATATGTTACTTTAGTGATTAATATTGAGTTTTGGACCTATATTTCGATGTTCTCCATTGTAAATTTTAGGTATACTCTTTTATGGATTTTTCTGGAAATATCCTTTTACCTTTCAGATAACACCTTCTCTACTCCACTTAATTTTTAAAGGTCTTTTTCCCAACTGATTGACTGCAGGCATTGGTAATGCAAAGTAAACATGCAGAAGCATTAGTCGAACTGTCAAAGATATGCCTGCTTTTGCGGATATTCCCTCCCGAGGAGTCCTCTGTATGTGGATTTTTTATTTATAAATGAATATACCATATCTAGATATTTCCTTTATACTTTATTATTTTGGGGATTTCGTCATGATTTTTTGGTTCATAAACTCTAAAAGCATCTATATTGTTTGGTTAATTTTTATTTTGTGCTCGGCGCATGACCACCTAATGACAAATGGGTCAGTCTCTATTATCTATTCTTCCCTACTCTCTGACTCAATCCCATACCCATCCCTTCTCTTATCATTCAAGAAACCTCTCTTTCCCCATCAATTTGTACACGCATAAGTTGTTATGGGCTGGTGATATGAACAATTATTCCAAGTAAACTTCCTTACCAAGTACAAATCCAAACTTCAGGGAGCAATGGGGCACATTTTAAAATTCAGAGGCATTGGTGTTGTTTACCATTGTATAATGTACCTTGGTTGTGTTTGAAAACATTTTTCTCCTTGCACCATTTTCACATCATCGCAATGGTTTTACATTAATGCTAAAAGTTATGTTCTGATCAATCCTATAGCTTGATCTTTAAGACAGTCATTTGTGATCTGGTGTTAGAGGCTTTCGTATTACTATAGTCAAATGCCTATGTGAGAGAACATTTTCTTTGGCCTGCTTTAGTTCCTTTTATTTACATATGCTGCATCACAAACTGAGTGGCTTTAATTATGAGTTTATTTTGCAGCCTGAGATGGAGATGGTAGCTCGAGGCTTGGAAAAACATTTGAAATTGGATCAGAGGGAATTTCTAATGAGCATGCTCACTGGCGTTTGCAGTGAAGAAAGCCAAAGAAGAGCAGCAGAAGCTTTGGGTTTGGTGCGTGGCATAATTCTCAATTTGCAACTTTTATTTTATGCAAATAATGCGACAAATCCCTGAGAGTGGTTATTTTGGTCAAGTATATCTCTAAGAGTGGTTTTTTATAACTTGTGTGAGCAAACTAACTTTTACTATGAAGTTTTAGCACCATCGATATAGAAATCAGGCATAAGACAAGAACCGATTTGCTGAGAATTAGGAATAATTAGGTCACCGATTTTTACTTACTGCAGTATACGTCGCCACATTTTCTGAACAGTTGGCAGTGTAAACTTTAGCAATATCTCAGAGTTGTCTCCAAAAGTGAATCCAGATTCATTTGGGTTAGCTCAAGTCCAGGCGTTGTGGTTTTGGTCTGAAGCAAAAAAATTGAAACAAGTCTTCTAGGATTCTTTGTCTCAATGTCTGATGTCTGGTATTTTGGCTACTTATTTATTTACTCATTTTTATGACAGAACCCCGACGGACAATTTTTGGGGCTGGACGGGGAAATCATGGATGCCGTGTAGACTACCCATACGGGGAGACAGACTAAACTTTCTAGCTGAAAGTGAAAGGTTGTTGATCTTGACCCGCTTATCCACTCTTGGGATGAAATTTGGTTTTTCGTTGTGGATGCCGAAACTGTATTATTTTTACGTCATTATGGTTTTCTGTTGACAATTCTGTCTATAAGTCCGACGCATCAACTTGATTATCTTTCTTTCTTTCCTAACAGTTTTCCTCATTTTCCTTGCAGATGCGATCTTCGAGAGGTCTTGGCGATGATGAATCGATGATGATGATGAACAATAAAAGTAGTTTACTGGGTAAATAATCATCAGCACATAAGGTTGTGTATTTACATCTGTGATCAATGTCTGTATTTGCACCAATTTGTTCGTTCTGTTATCATATCATATAATCCGAGAAGCGGAAGCAGAAGAACGATCCAAGAATCAAAGATCACGAAGAAAACCAAAGACCTCGAATGCAAAACAAAACACAGAAGAAACGTATGTTTACGAACGCAGAAAAACATTCACATTTCGTAGCCTGTCATAACCATTATTTAGACAGAATTGAATGGAAGGTATGTTATAATCATCACTTAATTAATCCACAGTGACTGAGATAACGAACCTGATGACACAATACAAAGCGTGCACTTATTCTTCAGGTATGAAAAGTCCTAATTCACCATCGCTATGGGATAGCTAAGATATAAATTTGTTCATAAAATATTCTATGCGCCAGATTTTGAGCCCGTTTCTGAGGGTTGGTTTGGTATTATTGTGTTTTGAAAAAAAATTACTTCGTGTTTTCAGCTTATTTTAACCAAAAATTGTGAAAATAAGTTGTTTTTAAGTGTTTACCACACACATTTTTGAGCTCAGCTTTTTTTTATACTCATTTTTTATAAAAGCATATCGGTACCAAATCAATATTGAGATTTTAAGGGTCTTGTATATAAGGACCCCTTCTTAAGACGGTTTTTCAAAGTGGGACAATGCATTAATGCTATAAAGTCATAACTTAAATCAAAACAAACTTTAAAACTTACTGAAAGTTTACAAATGTCATTAAATACAAAAGCAGTTCAATTGTTGCTAATACGTAACCAATAGCTGACATCATTATCACCTTAACTCGTCGAAATTCCCATCACCGTTGCAATTCTTGGCAACGTTATCATTCACGGTAGAAGATTTCATGCGTTTCTGGATGAGCTTACGGGAGGTATGAATGTAAAAATGTGTGTGTGAACATCTTAGAAACTCTTTTTTTTTTTGGGTGGTTCGAAAAAATATAGTAAGAAAAGTGGTGATGTTGTCTAGCCAATAAAACTGGATTAACGCCTATTGATTTCATCACACGCGCATTTTAGTGGGACCATTTCTTGTTCGTCTAAAATACGCCGTGGCACTGACCTTCACATTACTTGACCTCTCACCCCTTTCTTCCTTTGTTTTGAAGCAGCAGAAAACCAAGTACATTCGTGTTTGTCACGCGCCCTCCCTCTCTCTCTCTCTCTCTAACAAACCATTTCCGCTCCAACCGTCTCAGTCTGCATCACACTCACGTAGTTTCTCTCTCTCGCTCGCTGTAAGACTCGACGCTCTTAAACTCTGTTTGGTTGCCGAGAGAAACCCTCGGAAAATAATAAAAAAATGAAAAATTAGGGCTCGATTTTGACTTTCGCTTCTCGGCTTTCTTCCCGGGAACCAATCGGAGCTCTGACTGATCGGAATTTCTCTTCTGCAGGTCCTCGTAAGATCCTTGTCGTGAAGCCGTGTTTGTTTGCGTCGTATTTCTTCAAGGTGAGTGTTGCCGCATCCATTTGTTCTGCGATTCTAAAATTCTCAATCGAAGCCCTAATTTTTGTTACCTTCCGATTCGCTTCCATTGATTCGTTTTAATAGATCTGCTAATTCGGTGTTGGTTTTTGCAGCGAATTTACAGCGAAAATGGTTTCCTTCGAGATGAATGATAGAAAAAGTGAGTAATTTTAGTATTTTTTGCTTCTCGTAGTTTTCCAAGAGATTTGGATGCTTTTGATTACGCTGTTTGATCAATATATTCATATGTATCTTGTTTAGTGAACAACTTGTTACATTTGGATGCTTTTAATTACTTTGTTCGATACGTATATTATGTAATCTTGTTTATGTGATCAGTTTGTTTTTGGTAATACTGATAGTTAATTGTTTGAAAACTTGAAAGATAATTTAGTGTATTGTAAGACACGAGATGTCAGTAACGATATTCTCCAATCTAAATTGTTGTTTGTGCAATTGTAACAGAGATTGGACTAGGCTTGACCGGATTCGGTATATTTTTCACGTGCCTGGGAATGGCTTTCTTCTTTGACAAGGGATTGCTTGCAATGGGAAATGTAAGTGTCTTTTATAATTATACCAAGGCTTCTTTTTGTGTTGCCGTCTTTTCTCTGTGGTTGTAGTTGTACCTTTTATTGTTTTAGTTATTGTTCTACTTGATCCGCGTTTTAACACTGCTCATTTGTTTGTGGTGCTTAATCAGATCCTCTTCTTGTCAGGAGTGACTTTAACCATTGGATTTAAGCCCACGATGCAATTCTTCATGAAACGTCAAAATTATAAGGTTTATGACGATTAACCTTTTTCTCCATGCGCGCATGTTTGTCCGTGCATGTATTGTAACTTTTGTTTTTAACCAGGTTTTTTCCTTTAACTGTACAGGGAACAATTTCTTTTGGTGTTGGCTTCTTCTTTGTGATCATAGGGTGGCCTATTATTGGCATGATTTTGGAGGCATATGGGTTCATCGTACTCTTCAGGTCTCTAGGATTTTTTACTTTGATCTTTTTCATACTAATAAATTGATTTCTGCATATATGAAGTTGCTGATGGAATGTGTTGTGCAGCGGCTTCTGGCCAACACTGGCAGTTTTTATTCAGAAGATTCCAGTTCTTGGCTGGCTGTTTCAACAGCCATATGTTAGATCGGTATGTTTATTTGCTATTAATCTTTCATAATAGTGGATTAATTTTATGCAATGTCTGCTCGAATTGCACATACATGAAGGCCATTCAAGTAAAAACTGGGAAGCCCTTGTGTCTTATTTGTTTTAATAACACGATTTACATCTGTATTTGGCATGGGAGTTAGCCTAGCCATTTTTCTGGTCTTAGAACCCTGGTTAATTATTGTTAAGCATGAAGACGAACGTGTAGGAATGAGGAGCACATTGTTCAGTACTAAGAGATTATTTGACGTAACTGATAGATAATGCAAACTTGAGCCTTTTTGCCTAAGCTGGATGGTATATACAAAAGTAAGAGACCGTGTTGATTACACACCCTTCTTTTTCTAACAATCTAAAAACTTCATTGAAAGATAATTTGCTTTCTTTCTTCATTTGTAAAGGAAACTCTAAATGCACAAAAGACTTGTATTCAACCTTATCTTCATTTCTCATCTTGTGAACAATTCTCAGCTTCTTTTGTTGGCAGTTTTCGTAATCATAACTGTTTAGATCATTAGTCGTAGTGAATAAGTTTTAAACACAAGTAAGCACATTTTTTTTGTCTCAAAAACAAAGAGTACACTTTGATATCTAATTAAGAAAAGAACAGTTCTTGATTTTTATGTATTGTCTTAAGGATTATGCTATACTTTTCATTCTTTTTCGTAAGTCAAAATATGTGTAAATTGTATTTCTATTATGTCTTGGCGTTTGACTTGGAGAACTAAAAATGAAATATCAAAGGGCAAGGGGTTAATTGACACATGGTGTTTCAGCAAGTTAATTGGATTTACCTGGAAACAAATTTGAAAGAGCTTTGAACCTTTTTTATAGTAATAAACAGGACATATTTGTCATGTTTCTTAACATATTTTGTCCGAATTATATTTAGTTTAGACCAGTTGTTGCTTTACTCCTAAATAGAGTAATGGTTGTAAGATTAATTATGGGGTTAAGTTAGTACCTTGTGATTTATATAACCTTCCAACAGAGGAATCGAAGACTTTCAGCTCCCATCTAGGCTCTAGCTAATATAAGCCAACTTCACAATTTCGTGCCCAATATAAGCTTTCTGTGGTACCGTAGAGTCTCTTCCATTAGGTTGGTAGCACTTTATCATTATATATCATATATTACGGTGGCACCTCCTTGCAAAACAATAATTTCAAATAATCGAGGACAATCTGTCAATATATATCATATATTACGGTGGCACCTCCTTGCACAACAGGGAGTTCAAATAATCGAGGATATAGTCTGTCTATCTGTGACTCTACGTCTATATTTGTATTTCTTCTTGCCTGAATATGAGCTTTATCTGTACTATTCCCATTGCAATTAGATGACTTGTTTGTGTTTACCCCCTAACCCACTCTGATGTGCAGGTCTTTGATCGATATCGTGGCCGACGGGTGCCTGTGTAAGCAAGGAAACAGAGTGCCACTAATCTGCGGGCAGGCGAACCTGTAATTTCTTGTAAAATACTTTTTAGATGGCGCAGCATAATTCTTTTTATTCAGTTTCCAAAGTGACCGTAGGAAATGATCTCAGTGAACGGGCTTTTATCGTTTACCAAAAAAAAAAAAAAAAAAAAAAGGAAGTGAAATTGAAAATTACATATGAGCTTTATGTGTACTACTCTGTCTTGGTTTTTGCTTATTTTGTTACCTTTGCTAAGTGTAAAATTCTTAGAAAAAACATTTCAAATAACTATCTAATGTTTGGAAACTTGGTAATCTATCATGTCACTAGTATGTTTAAAATATTAGTACAAGTGGAGATATTGATGAATATATCAGTATCGATTGTTTTCGATAAAATGGTAGAAATTTAAAATTATACTTTAGGAAATTTTAAACATTGGCTTAGGCGAATTATAAAAGTTTTTTTTCGATATTTAACCAGTATGTTGAGAATATTGATGAAATTTGTTGACTTCACCCCCTCCTTTCATCTCTTTTTCTGATTTTGTCAGCATTTTTATGGAAATATCACCGTCATTGTAGAAATTCCAAACACTCCATACCACTAGCATGAAGTGATGACGAGAAGAAATACTAAAGCTTTTTCACCCTTACGTTGTCTATGGGATTTTGAATCTCCAAATCAACCCCCTGTACCCAGTCAATTGAAGTTTAACTTGGCTAATAGTGATCCATTTGAAGATTCAGAATACATATTTGGAATGCTCTAGAATTTACTTCTACTCAAAACACTTCTATTTTTATTAGGCGTGCGTAGAAATCTTCGATAAAAATCCAAATGGAAGTGTTCATGAGGAAGCACACGTTAAGTGCGTCTCAAAAAAGCGACTCCTAGTTCTTTGTAAAACTATAGTCACTTTTAGCTCTATGTCAAAACATTGTCGAAAGGGCTTTTGGTTATTGAGAAGCGCTATAACCATTCTAATGACACTGATATAGCTTACTAAAATGCATACAGGATCGTAACGGACCATCTTTGTAACATCAAAGGTGAGAAGAAAACTCAACTGCGAAGCTTTCGATTTTTTTTACAGATGGATAGTAAGTGTAGCATTCGTCGAAGGATCAAAATCCATTGAAATAGCCCATTCCAGTTGCCAGTTAGAGGCGTACCTTGCGGATGTTTTCATATTCTTCGGCCTTTCTCTTGATATTCTGGCTGCAGATAAAAACCAGCACGACTCAAATTTTCAGCATTTACTGTGTTTCACCCTTCGATTTTTTTTCCTTGTTGCGGCGTTGCGTCTGACGGAAAAGCTGGTGGGCTACAACTTTCTTCTGGTCATGTGTTTTTGTGTAATCTTCCTTCTTGTCGTTCTTCTTGTGGAAAACATTCCCAGTCATGCTTCTTCTAGTCATGCTTCTTGTGAGAACACCTACACTACAGCTAGGCCGAATCTTGCAAATTTTCTTATTTTCTTCTGTCATCGGGTTCTTGTCCTCCTTAACCTTAACCTTCTTATGCTTAGCTGGAGTTTCAGTTGTTCCAGAATCCACATTTGGCACTGGACGACGATTTTCCATATTTAAACCGATTGGTGATCCGGTATGACCAGAAGCATTGTCCCTGGATGTTTTCAGTATATCGCTGAAAATGCTCTTTACTAGTGAACAATAATCAGAGTCTCCAAAACTTAACATTGACAGATCACGTGCCCTTGTCACTGGTAGATCATCTAAAGAGAATGGTAAAGAATTACTCTTGTTGGTTCCTGAAGAAACGTTGAACTTTTTGTAAGCTGAATTCCTCATTGAAGCAACTATGTCGGTAGAATCTTCACCCGTGACAACAGCAGCATATTCCTCCCAGTCAAAAGGAAATCCAAGAAGAAAGTGATCGTATAGCTGACAGATTAGAAGGCATGATGTCAAGTTCAATTGGAAAGTTGGAAGAAACCTTAACCACTAACTTATATCTTCAGAAGTTCCGGCAAAATATTAACTATATCAATTCAATCATACAGGAGCGATGACATTTCATTTGTTTATTTTATCAAACAGGGTTATGAAGAATTAGAACATCGTAATCCTCTAAATTCTAATCAATGACAGTACCTACTCATATAAGGCATCTCCTATTTTTGTCAATCCCTTGCATTTAGGCCTCATTTGGTGTCTAGGATTGGATTGTAATGCATAACCACTATTAAATAATCATTCAAAGTTTGTTCGAGGAAGAAGTAAAAGAAATTATGTCCCAACTTCCGCTTGAAGGTAATCCACTCAAAATGAAAACTCATTCAACTCCACCTTCAATATACCTTGAATTTTATGAATTACCAATCCATTCCAATCATAGGCACCAAACGAGCACTTAGGGTTTAGGTTCATTTTTCTTAAATCGAGAAAGAAACTACATACCTCAGATGGAAAGCCATTTTGATGCGTGCGAGACCTATTTAAACAACCACTAACTGTGATCATGATCCCATCTACTGTCTCAAGAACAGTGGCAGAATGTCTCTTGGAAATGGCTGCTGAACAAAAAACTCTTACTCCTAGTCTCCTGTCGTACGAAAATACAAAAATGATATTAAGATGAAGAATAATTCTTAAGACATTCATCTGGACAGAAATGAGTTGAGTAACTAAGATGCAACATATTCCCGCACAAATCCAATGCCACAGATCGAACAAGAAAAGTTCAATGGCTGATCAGCAAAGTAATTTTCCATTCTGTATGTTATCCAAAACAACAGTCAGACATAGCAACACCGACGCTCTGTAATTGGAGCCGGATAGTTTTCAAAATCGAAATACTAGTTTCACTCTCAAATTAGTAGTTTCCCATGACCTTTTCGCTACACGAAAGTGAAAGGGGAATCAAAAACTGGTTACACACACATCACAAAACTTATTTCAGAAAATTCTTGTCTTCTCAAACAATCATTAGACCAAGAAGACATAGCACAAAAGTAGGTTGGCTAATTGAACAAAGCAAAAAAGTACAATTTCGAAACATTCAAGCTGTCATAAGCTGAATTGCTTTTACTTACACCCCTAATTCTTCAAATTCACACTGGAAAAAACCGGAAACAATTCCGATTCCTTTCTGGGTTCCGTTCAGTTGCCTTAGAATTTGAAATTCCTCAAGAACAAGCAACATCTCAAACGAAAATCAAACAGAAATAATAGGGTGAATAATTACGAAAGAAAGGGTATTACTCTCTCCAAGCAAATCCTCCAACGGCCAAACCCTTTCCTTTAGCCTTTACCAGCCACCAATCTTGCAACAAGACCTGTCAAACATATAAAATAAAATAATAAAAATAATCGAAATTAAAATGTTGAAAAGAAGAAGAAGAAGAATGCGTTGGGAATTCACCGATTTGACTGAGGCGGGTGTGATGGCGGTGCTCGAGAATGGGGTTTTGGGGTTTCGGGCATTTAAATGGGGATCCGGATCATTTGCAGGCGTTTTCGGGTCCGGAGTTGCAGAGGCCGCCGCCGCCGCCTTTCTCCTTGTCGTCACCATTGCTGTGTCGGAGTGGCGGCGACTATTCAGTTTCCTCAGTAACAGTCCACTTAGTTTCAACTGAACGAAAATTTTAGACAAATATTAATTTCAATCCAAATATTCGAAAATGAGTATCCATTTCAATTTTTTGGAATCGAAATTTCGGAATCTCATAAACTCATGCCGATTTGAAATTTTCAGAATCGGGTTAAATTTGGAATTTTTTAAATTATGGAGTTGTATGATCAAAAGTATTCCATCTCCATGGTTCTTTCTACATAATATATATTTTTATAATCTTTCTACATAATATATATTTTTATAGTTCTCAAATTTTTATGTGATATTATCTAAAAAAAAAATAGAATCATATTTGAGTATATTATATAAGAAAAACAAATGAAACATATCCAAAATCAATAAACATATAGAGTTAGGCAAGTTTTCGAATTTTTTAATTCAGATTCAGAATATTCAAATACATTGTAATTCTAGCCAGTTGTGCAGGATCGTCAGTTCTGAAGCTTTTCTTTCCTCAGGAAATAGGCATGATAGCCAGTTGTTCAATTTTTTTTTCTTTCAAGAAATATGATATGATAGTCAGTAATTTATGAGCATGTGAACCAGTTGTGTAGTCTTTTTCGAAGAATACGCATGATAGCCAATTGTGAAGTGTTTTCGAGAGAACATGCATGATAGCCAGTTGTCTATGTGCTTGCGAGCCAATTGTGAAGTTTTTTTTAAAGAAAATATGTATGCTAGCTAGTTTACAAATTTTCTCTTTAGAGTAATGTTGAAGAAAATAAAATGTTATATTTGGATTCACATTTAACGTTAAGTCTGGTGCAATGAAAATGACCTTAATTTTTGCATACTTAAATGAACGGGATAAATCCTAAACATGATAGATTTTATTTAAACGAAAAATGGTTTTATCTACACACGTCTTTTTATTTTTCACACAATTCTCATTTTCTTTTGTCAAATAAAAATCAATTGAAGAAAATAAAAAGAAAAACTAAAATGGCGTGAGAAAGATTAAAAAAAGATGTATAAATGAATAGTAACTGTCACATGCCCACACTTAAAACTGATTATTTAGAAAAAGATAAAGGAAACAAAGTGAAAACAAGTATGTGGATATTGCACCATTTTTTGTAAGGAGAATTGTAATAAATTCTAGTAAGCTTCAATTTTCTAACTGCCTGAAATCGTAGCGAGAATATTCAATATTAACCTTAGAATAATGTTAGGGAGATTAAATTCGTAAATCAAATTTGTAAACTAAATGATGTGTCATTAATAAAAAATAAACACGTTAATCAACATTTAGAGCTCGTTTGGATGTGCTTTTAAAATGACTAAAAACACTTTTGGTGAAAACGTTTTTAGAACCAATCTTTAGTAAAAATGCAAGTAAATCTTGGAAAAACACTTAAAAGTGCTTCCTGGAAGAAGCACATAACTGATGTTTCTTGCTAAAACACTTTTAAGTGTTTTTGGAGCCTAAAACAATTTTCTCCAAAAGCACTTTCAGTCATTTTAAAAGCACATCCAAACGAGCCATTAAGTGATACTCCAATCAACAACCAAGTCATATGATTTACAAAATTTAATTCAAAAAAACATTACCCTTAACCATGGAAATAGCTCATTTAGCTAACCTTCATTAGAGGGTGGGGATGGAGAAATTTTTTGGGGTTCCCAGAACACAAGGTAGAACATCACATGTCGTACTCCACCCGTGTTTCGGGCACACGAAAAAATCTCTGGTGGAGATAGGAGACTGGTTCAAAAGCAAAACTCACAAGCTTTTTCTCAATAAGATTATTTATGGTACTAAATTACTAATACAAAACATTACAGTGATAAAACTACTGAATAAATTAGGCTATTTGTATTGTAATGTGCAACGACTTTGAAACTCAGGTAGTCTTGCTATAACTTCCTAGAGTACAGATTTATTTAAAAGATTACAGCAAGCTTCAGTTTTCCGACTGCCCGAAATATCTACCTGAAATCGTGGCAAGAATGTTCAGCATTACTGCCTCGTCGTCAAGTGTAGACTTTGCAGCTCGCAAGGCAGCGCACTTCCTAAGCAGACTCCGAAGAGAAGCGCTGGTATCAGCATCTAGTGGCGTATCAACTACCGCACACAGTGCAAATAGCCACAGGCATTCATTCCTTGACAGAGTGCTCATGTCCTCTGCCGCTTTTATGCGTTTTCTCAACATCGACACTCGAGCTACAGAGTCCATTTTTAAGATCGCCGACAACAAGGGGGTGTCGCTGGAACTTTGAGTCACACGAGGCTTGGGACTGGAGTTCTCGGCAGGAAGTGAGGCATTACTTCCTGAATTAATTGACAAGGATGGCTGATCTGTGGAGCTCCCAACGATGGAACGGTCCTGAGGCCAGTGGAAGTCAACTTCATTGGATTCTACATTAAGTAAATTTTCAAATTTTCCATGAAGAATAATGTTTGATTGGGGACCTCGAGACGTGCTTGCATGAGAACCCTCAAGACCAGACAGAGCCTGAGATTAAGATAAAAGTAGAAGTCAGAAAATGAGTCTACCAAAAGGTCCAAAACTAGAAACATCGTGTGCCAGAAAAAAGGAGAAAATTTAAAAAATACAGAGCAAATTAATACAAAGAATGTACAGAAAGGGAAAAAGATTTCCATGCAAAAGGATGTCAACTGTTGTGAATTTGTGATCAAGAATAAGGGAAGTGAACTAAAATAAGCAGAGCCGACCAACTTTTAATCAATTTTCATGTTTACTATGCCAATAATTAGTTCTTGTATGGGAGGTGGACGAAGAAAAATCAGGAGGCGAACATACCAGCCTTAGCTCTGAAAATTCCGCAAGAAATGCATCCTCCCACTGTTTCAGGGGCATCAATTGTTCTGGACACTTGGCAATCTCAGGAATGTTGGGCATATAAGCACTCTGCTCCTTGTTAAATTTACTTCTATCAACCTTGGCTATCTTCACTTTTGGAATTTGGGCAGCTTCCCACCTAAGAAAGAGAGACAAATACCACATGACTACCTAAGCACATCCCCGTATACAATGGAATCAAATAAAAAAAAATTCTGAGTCAAACAGGTTTCTCACATAAAGGAAAAAATAATTAAAACAATCTATTAAATCTATTTAAAATATCTTCAACAATTAGAACTCATAAGAAGCTGAGAGACAGAGAGCGATTCAATAGTTTCATCTTCATCAAGTCTTTCTAATGCGTCAAAATTTTAGTTATGGAGGCTTCTTTATGGTTCAAATATTGCTTCAATGAATTTGATTAACACATAGGCTCACCATATGACATTTTGACTTCGACCTCTACACAATTCCTGACAGCCAAACTTTAGCAACTTTTGGCAAAAGCTCTCAGTGGATGCACCGCATTTCAGATGCTTTAGCTAATAGGTGATCTGGACTGTGAAGATATGGACCACCGATCTATGTTCTAACACTCTCGCTTAACCTTGGGCTCTCTAGTTATGAAATTGAACATAAATACGAGGAGTGTTGCAGGGATTTAAACAGAGATCTTCCACTCTAAGACCATGTGAGTTTTATTGGTTTGCAACTGTTTCTAAAATCTTAAACTTGCCTACATAATGCAGAGAAGGAAACCTTGTTTGAATCTTCCTCCTCAATGGGGTGTATGTGCAAAAGAGATTCTGGATGTCTGAATCATTTAATGCTCCATTGTCCAGTTGTGTATTTTTCGAGGATAACGCTGCTACTGGGGTACAGATTGAGTTGGCAAATCCCAGCTTATTATGCATTACTTTGTGGGAAGAATATTATTTTTCGGAGAGAGAGGCAAAAAGGGCATGGGGATAGGAAGACGTGGTTCTGTAGTGGCAATATTTTGGTTGTTTGGATGGAGAGAAATAGAACTCTTGAGGGATGTGGACCGTTTGTGGCAATATTTTCATTTCTGGACAACTGACCAGCTTCAATTTCCTCAGATTTCAAGGACTTTCATACTATTTCATGTGTATTAGTTGCCCTTTGTTTTCATTGGTTTTCTGTTTTGCTGTTCTTTAGTTGGGTGTAGTTTAAGGAATTGTAATTTCCTCATCTTTTCAATGACAATCTTTGTTTCTTATCAATGAAAATCTAAGTTTTTTTAAGATGGGCAACGGTCCTTTAATGTTAAAAAATATACAAAACACTCGACCTAATCTAGATATTATCGTAAGTGCAAATATGATGGATGAAGAATGATATGGTGACAAGGGTTGACAGATGTAACATTAATCCCAAGGATGTAGGATCAATAAAATTTGTATTAAGCATCAATGAAGAACATCACAGAAAAGAAGGCAAAGAATAAACAAAACCATACTGAGTTAATCAATATTATAGAGGACAAGAAAGCATGACAGGTAGAAAAGATATTGCTTAAACGAATAAGGCCTTGTGGTTTACGATGAATAAAAGGATTTTAAGCAGGGAAATAATAGAACTGTTACCATGACTCCAGAAATCACTCCTAAAGAGAAACATATGCTCGCTGAAAAATCTCGAAACACAATCGTGTCATAAAAGAAATTTTCAATGACTCCAGAGTCCAGACACACGATTAACCTAAACATACATTGGACTAACATTAACTCATGACTCCAGACACACAATTATCCAAGATTCAGAGTGGTTCTAACACTATTAAACATATGCAAACAAAGGGTTGGGCCTTAGTCTCTTAGAGCCCTTCTAACGGCGCCCTTGGTAAACTTTTAAAGCCGGCTGCCACTTACGCCCGTCAGAATATAGATAACATAAGGAAATCTGATCCTATGATTTTGTATCTTTTGCATGCCAGACAAACTCCCAAAGACACAATAATGTTGGATCTACTATAGAAATTATAACAATATGTTCGGACAATAATCACTGTTGTAACTAGTAATCCCAAGCAACCAATCCCTTGGGCCAAGCAACCAATCACCCTTGGCAACCAATGTTCAACCCCTGGCGTATACACCATTTCCATTATCAACTTACAAATGTACCAAGGTTTGACCAACAGAAATTCATACCTCAATGTTATAAGAAGCTTGTCTGTATCGTTTCCTATAGCAGCAAGAAAACTTTCTCCTATTACTCTTTTTCCCATATTTATTTTTACTCTTTTTCCCATATTTCTATTGGTTTTAAGGCCATGTTAAAGCCTACTTCCTGCAGGCAGTTAGCATTATCAATCAGGAACTGAGGGGAAGGGGATTGGATAGACATGACCACACAATTATACCTGACACGCCTAAGATACTCAAGTCCATCTTCTGGTGAACCGGACTCAAAATTGGGTTCTCCATCAACTGCAAAGGCAGGTCTCTGAATGCTAGCATAATCTTCGTCACTGTCATAATCCTCAGTGCACTCTTTTTCTTGAAATGGGTGGCCGTCTTCATCAGTAGCACTGTAACTGCAAAAAGGGTCCAGGGCACTTGCATCTTGAGTTTCATTATTCACCAAGTTTTCTAATTCAATGTCCACATCTTCCAAAAATGATTCCCCTGAAAGTAATCACAAAAACCTTAGCAATCAAACAAATGTAGAAACAACTGATTTGATCCAGACAAAGAGGATGGGAACTTTTTATCTTTTAGTCTGACATCAGCAGAAGTAAAGGAAAACAGGTTCAAGAAACTCATTTCATTCAACTATGCAATCAAAGCAATTGTACTTTACATGGGATATCATTTTACTACTGTTCATCTACAGGAAGAATTATGTACCAACATCTAACTATGTTTCCGAAACTAGAAGGCCAAAAGCAAGGATTTCCGTGTACAAGGACTGCATACAAGTAGTACACAGAACAACTCTCTATCAAGGACCTAAAGTCACAAAAGAAGAAACATATGTCGAGAAAGTGGACATCAAGTCATTTGCAGGTTGCGTTGGGCCATTCTTCAATGTACAAAGATATTCATTTGATTCCACCTTCCCCTTGAAGCAATGGCACCTGTGCACAACAGAAATTGAACCCATCAAATTGACACAATCAGAGCTAAGAAGAAGAAGAAAAAAGGCGTACGAAGGAACTCAGAAGTTTCCACAAATGGACTACAAGAATGGAAGAAAAGAATTTTTGCGAGTTAGTTAAGAGCTGCACTCTTGAAAGTAAAGGACTATGAGTGCAACCAGGAACAGAAAGACAAAGATTGAAAATCTCATGGGGAAAAAGAGAAAGGAAAAATTGTTCATATGATCATATCCATTGCCAATTATTGCCTCTGTGCCTACTAAACTCACCCAAGAAATAACAAAACGGCTAGCTTCCCTTAAAGGGTGAGTTTGTTTGACCTCTATCATTACATTGACAGATACCAAGGCAAGAAAGGTCATACCCAAACAACCTTTTAATGGTAAAAATGACAACAGGCATAATAAGCAGTTCAGTAAAATGTTCACTTTGTCACAAAGGCATGCATTCATGAAGAATGCCTTGCTATAGCAAAACGAACTATATACATAAATTAAGAATGCTTTGCTGCGAAAACTCATTCTGCAAGGTTCTTCTAATGATATGCACTATAATTGAAATTTATAAACGAGTCGTGCAAGGATGCGGAGTATAAGCTGCAAGGTTCTAATTACGAAAACAACAAAACAAAACGATTCAAAAACTATTTGCACACCTCCATACTTAGTACAATTACTAGCACATATAAGTTACAAAAAGAAAAAATTTAAACACAGGCTTACGCACTGAAAAATAATTAACTCATTAAACAAGTTACTAGTAGATAAAGTTTCTTAAATCAAACAACAGAGTTTTAATAACAATTAGCACATAAATTAACAAAAGAAAGCATATCAAGCAACAGTACTTACCAAGAATACCAGGTCCCGCTTCCATCTTCTCAAAGCGTTTGCGATGCTCAAAGTTATTGTGGGTGTTCTTCTGTTGCTTAGCACTTGCCATATCATCATACTCCTTTGCCACGACTGGCCCAAGGCCACTGTATATATCCTTCCACAGTTTCTTCTGTTCCACCACATTGACATACCTCATGGCCTCCAACTCCTTCCTCGAGTAACTGATCTTGGTTCCTTTCCCTTTCTCGAAACTCAGGCTACTAGCTTCAACCAAACAATTCGCCACTTTTTCCTTTTCCCCCACATCGACAAACCTCATGGCCTCCAACTCCTTCCTCGAGTAACTGATCTTGGTTCCTTTCTCTTTCTCTAAACTCAGGCTACGAGCTTCAACCAGACGATTTGCCAACTTTTCCTTTCGCGCTGCAGCTCTTGCTTTTTTCCCATTCATTTCTTGCTTTGCATTCTTGTTTCCATTCCTCTGTGCAAAACCCAACTCCTTTCCACGGCCATTGCCAGGCAGTATCATCAATGCAGTATCATCAATTACTTCAATCTTGAAAGAACCGACAGACCCATCAGCAGCAGTTTTCACCTGCGCCTTGTCTGCAGGTGCAAGAATTGCTTCCACTTCCTCCAGTAATTGCTTCTTCTTTGCTTCCAGGGAGCTCTGAGATTCCACTGCTTTTTCAAAAGACTCCGTTGCAGACTCCGTTTCTTGCATCAACATTTGAATCCCAGAGAAACCCACTTCGCGTTCACCCTTCTTTTCATCATCCAGAGTCTTTGCAGTCTCAGTTGTCACTAATTCACAATCAGAAACAAGACCCACCTCGCAATTTCCCATGAAATCTTGGGCAACTCCATCAGATGCAGGAAGCCCAGAAACGAAATTCAAAGATACAAGCTTTTCATCCGCAGAATTGGCAATTTCTTGAAGTTCTTCAAGATGGGTCTCAGAGGCTTGGCCGTGAGGTGAACTCTTGTCCTTCTTGGAGGACACGGAGACCAAACAAGGAGAGCTCTTGTCGATGAAGTCTGCGTCTTGTTTCAGAGGAGAAACGATCTCAGTCGAGCGATTATCTTGTTCTGGAATTGCAGACGGAGAATCAGAGCGTTGCGGAAGAGTTTGGGTTTCTTCGGAATCTTTGATTGTTCGCTTGAAGCCGACGCATGTATCAGAATCCATATCATCTGCCATATCTTTGGGGACAGAGAGAAATGGACAGAGAAGGGGAGAAGAGAGTAAGCTTTGGGGACGAAGAGAAATGGGGAGAGAGAGAGAGAGAGAGAGAGAGAGAGAGAGAGAGAGTGTGTGTGTGTGTGTGTGTGTGTTCAAAGGTTCGTTTCTGAGGAGCGATGAGTATGAACTGTGTGTAATTGAATCTCGTGGACATTTTCTCTTTCTCGAAAAAGGGTTTAGGGTTTAGCGGCAACTCAACCCAGACCCAACCCAAGCCCAGACAACTCAAACCAAGCCCAAGCCCAAGCCCAATTCATAATGAATCATTCTGGCTTCGTATTTTAAAATTTTTACATTTAGTTATATTTTTTTTAAAACAATTTAACTCTTTCATATTTACTAATCTGTTTAATAACCATTGTGTTTTCGGTTTTAAAAACATTCAAGTTCGGGATGAATTTAATATTTGTATTTTAGATTCTAACAATTTAACTCTTTTAGTTTACTAAAGGCACTTGGTGTTCTAATTCAGTCCCAAAAATGCACTTTTCAGACTGATAAAGCAAAACTGCTTGACGTTACATATCAAAACTCATTAAAGCTTGATTTGCATAGGAAAAAAGAATCCCAAAGGTAGAATTTATTAAATTCATAGTCGAATAGAAACATTTACATCCTCATCTAATATGTTAAACAAAAACTCAGGCTTAAAGAATCCCACAAGAGAAGGTCTAATAGAAAAATATTAGAAGGGGAAAATACTTCAAGATGAACTTCTCATGCAACAGTCAGGAATCTTATTTCTTTCAATTTTTTTTAGTTTTTTGGTTCTTTATTTGAAGTAACTTTTTCTTCCATAGTGCGAAGCAACGAGAGGTCTAAAAATTAATAGTTAGATTTTGCATATAGGAATTTAATGGATCTTTAAAGGTTAAATCTTGCATAAAATCCATACTATTGAAGGGTACGTACCATTGTAACACAACGATAAAAAGTAGGTACAAAAAAGCAAATAAAAGCTGAAAGATCGTCAATTATAAGCATCAGCCATCGGCCATGTCTAGCGAAGATACCATGACAACCATACTAGTGTTCAGAAGAAAAAAAAAAACTAAAGGAAGAAGTAGTAATCGAAAGAGTGGGAAAGTTTGGTGTAACCGAATTTCATTCATTTTCTACTGATGACGTAATAATTACAACTGCAAGTATTTATAGTTAATAACCAATGACATAATGATAGTTGGCAGAATCCTAGACACTCATCAACTGTATGGGAGAAGTCATTTTCATGCTTTGGGCAGCTTTTAATAAATTAATTATATGGTTGTTTCTCTTTGTTTATTTCCTTAATTATTTTCAATTTTATATGTTCTAGCAAGGAATCACTAATTTATGGGGTTGACATTTGAACTTAATATAAAATCTTCAATGCAAACGTGTCTTCCGTTATAAGAAATTATATAATTTCAATAATGCAAGTTCACAGAGGCATGTGAGTGAGCAACAAAGGATCTCTAACCTTTGATAAGAAAGAGAAAACTATCAAATATAATTCGAAAATCTATGGTTTCGATAATGATTTGGGAAGGTGTTTCTAACCATCTCAAGCGAATCATATGAATTAGACAAACCGTATTGAATTAGACAAAGATCGTATTGCATTGGAATTCCAACTGAATACAGATCCTCAAGCTTTCACAGGATTAACATCCTCAAGCTGTAAGGAGTGAAGCGTTGAAACACTTCCCCTCGCTACCGGGACCGATCGCCGGAGAAGAAACGCTTGCTTGAAAGTAATTCCCACTTCGGGGTACTTTTGAATGGCATTTATTTTTTGTGCCGCGGGTGGCAAAGAAAAGTAACCTAAAACGTCCGGCTAGGTCGAGACCATGCACAATCATATTCACCCTATATTACATTTTCCGTTGCAAAACATACGCTGTGATAGCTCATTAAGAGTACAGAAGTCGAAGAAAGCAAACATTCAGCGAAAAATATATCCACCTCACAATCCAACCCCCAAGTCAATTCATGGCGAAAAAAAAGTTAGACATGCAGCACTCAGCAATGACATGAAACTGGCCAAACCAATCCTACACACCCAATCTCATATATGAAAGGTAAAAAAATGAAACTATATATAATGTTTACGATGAAATCAGCGGGAGGCAGTTGAAAGCAGAGTGTTTCAAGGACGCAGAAATTCCAGCACAAGGAACGACTGAGGCCCTTGCCTTCAAGACTCCGGAGCCGGTGGTGGTGGCTTCAGAAGCGGTTGAAGAGCCTTCACAACAATGCTCATATTTGGCCGGAATTCAGATTCATATTGCACGCACAGTGCTGCAACAGCTGCCAGCTGCATCAACAAAACAACAATAAATAAAAAGCCCAAAAAAAGTGAGTACACCACTAATGGATTAAACGTGCACAAATGCGTTGGGGCAGGTAGGTGGAGTGTGCATATGATTGTGAGGAAAGTGTGTGTTCAGAGAGAGATAAAGAGAGAGTTAGTGTGCAGGTGTATATGGTTGTGGGGATGGGTGCGTAGAGAAGGAATGAAGGATACAGAGAGTGTGTCTGCTCAGACTCTCAGACACTCAGACACAGAGAGAGAGAGAGAGAGAGAGAGAGAGAGACCTTTGCGACCCCCTTAGCAGGATAATCCTTCAGCTTTGGATCAACACATTGTTTAACTTTGTCTTCACTCAACCTTGGAGTAGCCTATAGAAAAGCATGGTAAATGTCAAGTAAAATTAAGTCCAACAGAGAATTGGTAGAGCAGTTGTTCGAAGAAAAGTAAGGAAGAAAAGTAAGTACATAGACTCACCCAAGTAACAAGACTCTGCTGTCCACGAGGCATTGTATGATCAACAGGTTTCCTCCCGGTCAGAAGTTCTAGAAGAACCACTCCAAAGCTGTAGACATCACTCTTTTGCGTCAATTGACCTGTCATTGCATACCTGCAGAATAGTTTTGCAAATTCAAATTAATTTTGATCTATAAACTAATTACACTCCTCAAAGACAGAAGAAAACTGAATTAAATGATACAGGGATGATTCCGAATAGGATACATTAAGAAAGGTGCTTCTGGAAGAAAAAAAGAGCTTCACAATTCTTCTTTATAAGTATGTACAGCGATCGGACTAGTTGACATCATAAATGTAAGATACGATTGAAGCAACTTGATGCCTCTGATATACTAAATATAAGATATTCAACTACTTAAACTACTCCTCAATAATAACGTGATCCATTGAGAGCAACTATCATCATATGCATTTGAGTCAGGGACATGTCTCTACCATGTCTGGATCTGGCACAGTTCCAGTTGAATACAATCCCAATTGCCACTTATTCTGGCAACAAAGGTTATCTGAATAGTTCTAATTTAATCTCTGTAGCTATGGACTGCTTGTCCATATATTGCACTTTCCTTTTCTTTAATTAAAATTTATTTCTCCTCAAGAAAAAAAGAAACTGATAAAATCATATAAAGAGGAAGGAGCGCTTTCGGAAAAAAAAAAGTGAAGTAGCAGTCGACCAAAATAAAATGCACTCAAAACAGCATGCAGTGAAAACTTGAAACCAAAGACTGAAACAACAAACCGAACAAGAGGAAAAAAAACAAGGGACCATAAGTTATCTGAAAATAACCATATAAATGTAGAAAGTTTCAGAGCCATACTCTGGGGCATGATAACCAAATGTTCCCAAAACTCGAGTAGAGTGAAGACGAGCAGCCATATCAGGAGCCTGATTCGACAGATTAAAATCTGCTATCTTGGCTTTGAAATCTTCGAAGAGAAGCACATTGCTAGATCTTATATCTCTGTGTATGATAGCAGGTTGAACCTTTTCGTGTAAGTATTCCAACCCCCTAGCCGCCTCAACTGCAATTCTTACCCGCTGCATCCAGTCTAGTGTAGGACCAGGTTGAGCCCCCTGAACTCCCTTTCTACCTATAATTGCACTAACATTCAAATTAACATATTCTAGTTTCTACAAGAAATATAAAAATCAAGTGAAGATGAATTAGAAACAAAAAAGGCAAGATGGTTTTACAAACCATGTAATATGTCGTGTAGAGATCCCATGGTTGCAAACTCATAAGCCAGAACGCGCAGATTTCCATCAACACAGTAACCAAGCAACTCAACAAGATTTTCGTGCTTCAGTCTTGAAACCATGGAAACCTGTAGCAAAATATGTCAAGGTACAGTCACATCAAATAACTAAATTGTGAAACAAGTATAATTCAAACTAGTATACGCCCACACACAAAGTGTGTGAATTTTTTTACTTTGGTTGTTAAAATTGAAGGAGAGAGGAAGAGAGTGAGAAAGAATTGAGGAGAACGGGAGAGAGGTTCTTATTTTTATTTTTATTTTTATTTTTTTTAAATTAGAGATGATAAACTTGCATGTAGGTGAGGTTTAAAAAAACAGCAAAATTTTGTTTTGTGAGATGTCTTTTCACCCTATTTTGGTTTACAAAGAGGGTTTCATTAATGTAGTTTTAGATGATAGAGTTGCAGACAGACCTGGGTCAAAAACTCAACATTTGTCTCAGGTTCAGATGCAACATCAAGCTTCTTCACGGCAACAGCTTTACCATCATTCAAGCTTGCATAATATACTCTCCCATATGAACCTTCACCAATCAATGATTTGGATCCAAAATTGTCAGTCTTCTCCTTCAGCTCCTCCACAGATAATTGAGGCACTTCAATAGGTGGAGCAGCCTTCTGTACTTCAGATTTTACAGGAGCTGACACCTTAGATCCCTTTTGGTTCCCTAAACATGCATGAATAGATGAAGAAAAGTAAGTGAAAAGTTAACGCAAACAAACAAAAGAGATACGGATCATGGCAGAAATGCATGATGTGGCAAAGGTCGTACAGTAAACGTGGCAAAGGAATATAAACGTTTTCAAGAAATGTTTGTTGTCACTGTCGCATAATGGCAGTTGCCTAGTGGAAGCGGAGAGTTAATTAAGAAAATGACATCCCAGGGATTTAACATGAACTCAAATTCTAAAATCACTAGAAACTTCAAGAACTAAAACCGTAGGTTACAAAAATGATTTCCTTTTCTCAATTACATGCAAATCTGCTTAAGGAAAGTCAGAAACGTACCATCTCCATAGTGATTTGGGCTCTTCAGGCGTTCATTTTCGTTTGATGGATAAGACTCTTCGACGTGACAAGCACAACAGAGCCACCTGCGCATCCTGACTTTCTTCCTCAAATACAAATCGTCTTCAGCACTTGTATTCTCTAATCGTACAAACCAACCTGGGGGAGGAGCATGTGCCTGTTGTGCCACAATGATATGAGTGGATTCAGCATCATTACGTAGTAATTAAAATCTAAAAGGAGCAAAAGCTTTGATAATTGAACATTTCAGTCTGGTGCCGGCATTATAGTAAAGCGTTAAAGGAGAGATTACATCCTCTAAAGCAAAGATTATAAAGCACTTCCAGCCATCTTAGGCTTTTGCTTATGGGTTTCACTATGGCTCCTATTAAACAAGTCAATCCAAGCGCCAACGAAGTTGTCACCGCTGTTGCGAAATTTTTTTCTTTTCTTCATGTTTTAAAAAATGAGGAAATTTTAAGTTTATGAAGGAACAATTAATACTTTCCAAAATATCAAAAAAGTTATTTTCTTTCTTTTATCCAAAATTTATCAATGATTGAATTGCAGTGTTAATACCGGTTCAGCTAGTCTCAATGTACGATCAAACAATACATAAACATTCAAAATATCCGCAATCAATTGAATTGAAAGAACATCAACAATCACGAGAAATCGAATCCAATTCGTCTTGTAATTAAACACAAACCAACACAATTGGGAATTGTACCTCCCCTAAAGATCATCAATCAAACAAAACAAAAGCGACCCATTATTCTTACCACTAAACCACGGGGACCGCAATCAGCAGCGTCCGTTCAGAATAAACACAAATTTCAAAATTTACAATCACCCCAAAATCAATCAATTGCAGAATACAAACAAGAAACCCAGAAATGATTCGATCCCAATTCTCCAAATTAGCCAAAGATCCTCACAATTAACAAATCAATTCAAAACAAAAACAATTACCAAAAAGGAATTGAATTTAGATTTGGGATTTAGGAAATGGGGACAGGTCAAATTGGGGAATGAAATTTAGATTGGGAAAATCAAAAAAATTAGCACGGAGATCGAAACCGTACTTGCATGCAACAAAAGAACAATGCCTTCCAGAGAAATTAAAAAATAAATAAGGATGAAAACGACTACCTCTTGCTTTGCTCTCTCTCTTTCTCTCTCTGCGCCTCTCTCTCTCTGTTTCTTCTGCGCTTCTCTCTCTCTTCTGTCTCTTTTAGGGTTTGTGAAGGTAAAGCGACAGTTAGGATTTGAAAGGGGGCTTCGGCTGTTGCTTTTTGGGAGGGGAGAGAGAGAGACTTGAGAGGATGGGTTTGTTTTAGAGAGACAGAGAGACAGAGAAATAAGAAAAAGAGAGAGAAAAGACAGAGAGGCAACGCGGAGTGGCCGACTGGCGAGGCAAATCAACGAACTGCTCAGATGGACAGATAGATCAAAGATATATCCTCCCCTCCTATTTTCCTTCTTTTTTTTTCCTTTCTTTTTGGTAAATTTGTCCCCCACTTTCTCTCTCTACAAGTTAGTTTGTCTAGTTTTCTCTCTCTATAACCATCCATTTTTTTTTATTTTTTATTTTTTGTTTACAATCGACATAAAGACCAAAATAGAACAAAAGTTGCGTTGGAATGTAACCAGATTAAGCGATTTCATCTTTATCAACAACTAAGGATCGAGGATATGAAGTAAGAGTTTGTTAAAAAAAAAAAAAATTGGAAAATTGGACTCTAAGGGCCAATTTGAGATTATTGTACTTTTATTGTACTCTAACGGTAAAATAAATCAGTTGAACGTTTGATAAAACGATATCTTTAAAATTGTAATGAGTATGAAAGTTAGTGGAAAAGCGTTTAATAATTTTTAATGTAGAAGTGATATAATTGGATATAGTCACAAAACATGACATGGTAGTGAAGTCAACAGCAATGGCGAAGTGCGATGGTTGTAGCAATGATGGTAGTGGTTAGCAGTGATGGTGTTGTAAGTCTAATGAGAGCTGCACACTTGTTTAGCACGTGCAAGAGGGATCGAGATCATAAGAGTTTATGTATGATAATACTTGTTGGTTATTAAGGAATGTATAAGGACTAGTATATAATCTTAAGAAGTCCTAGTGCAATTGGTGTTAACCATTCTGATATGGATGCTTTGGATATTAGTGATAAGGGTTATCAAATTGATGACTTTGATAACGATTACATGATGGGAAACATCTTTATCAAAGACCGTTGTTTACATTATAAATAAAGGGTCCCTACTCTTGCACAATACACGCAAATAGAAACATCAACCCCCATTGACTTCGCAAGGTTAGTGGTTAATTGGATATGTTGAGTTCTTTTGTTTCCGCTATATTTAAACTTACAAGTGCCACTCGTGAGGGTGCAACCTATGTGGAAGAAGATTCACGCACAATTTTGTCGAGCAAATTCAAGACATGTTCTAGAGTGGGCAATCTATGTCGAGTAGGTACAAAACATCTACATCAAGATTTGGAAGGTTGACAATAAGCCCTCAGAAAAACAAAAGGAATCCATCGAAGCGTTGATATCTAGCCAATGAGATAATAACATTTTATTATTAATAAATGTTAAAATGTAATTCAAGTAATTAAAAGTAATCATTTGATTATGTAATTTATTATGTTGTTCTCTTTTTTTTTTTTTTTAGCAACTACAAGCACAAATATAGTTCAATATTGAGCACAAGAAATCAATCAAAGCACGAGTTTCACAACATTGTGAAGTATATTCTAAAGTACAAAGTTATGCCAAGTAATCCACAAGTTTTGTTGGAGGGAGACTACCCTGCACGAATAAATTATTGAAGAGTCGCCATCAAAGACCCCAATTCAAGAGGTCACACAAACTCAAGAAACCTCGAGGCTTAATGATAAGAAGGAAAAAAAAAGGTAAGAGGAAGTTCTTTGAATAATAATATTCAAAATTAGATGACGAATTGGCTTGCAATGGCGTAGCCACCCACAAGGCTAAGGTGGGCTGTAGCCCAGGGAGGTTTTCTGTAAGAGTAGTGCTATCTATGCACTTATTTTTACTTCTCACATATCCCTCTCAATTTTCGGTTGTTCGAATCGAATGAATTGAAGATGATCATTAACAGAAAATTAATAAGGCTGTGTCACATCCCGGCCCGGGAAGTGGTGCCGCCCGGGCCGAGGTGTGATCCTTAATTGTATATTCACATCCCTACCTAGCACGAGGCCTTTTGGGAGCTCACTGGCTTCGGGTTCCGTAGGAACTCCGAAGTTAAGCGAGAAGGGGGTTAGAGCAATCCCATGATGGGTGACCCACTGGGAAGTTGCTCATGAGTTCCCAAAAACAAAACCGTGAGGGAATGGTAAGCCCAAAGCGGACAATATCGTGCTACGGTGGTGCCCCGGGTCTGGGAAGTGATCCGCCCCGGGCCGGGATGTGACAGGCTGTGTTGGAAGTAAAAATGGGTTTGTAAATAGAACTATTCTTTTGTAAAATCATGTTTATAGCTTACTCAATTTCAATAGAGATTATCATTTAATGTATATTTTATAGAGGATAGGTAATAAATAATACGTTTTATGCTAAAAATTATAAATTAGTTCTATCTACAATCATTTTTTTATCATATTCTTTAAAGAAAAAGGTCATTTACCCTATGTAATTTAGCATTTGTGCTTCTTACTCAAGAAAAGAAAAATAATTTCTTTAAATCCACAATTAAATCTTTGTCTCCACAATTCCTTAATTTCTGTTGCGATTTTCCAATAAATGTCACCTTTGGTACTTTCTTAATCTCTATATTATTCTTGATTTAATTAGTAGGTTAATTATTTATATGGTCCATGAATTTATCGGTTAGGGTTATTGTGACATCCCACATCGTCCAGGGGAGTGATCCTTATATGTATATTCTCATCCCTACCTAGCACGAGGCTTTTTGGGAGCTCATCGGCTTCGGGTTCCATGGGAACTTCGAAGTTAAGCGAGAAAGGGGCTTGAGCAATCCCATGATGGGTGACCCACTGGGAAGTTGCTCGTGAGTTCCCAAAAACAAAACCGTGAGGGAATGGTAAGCCCAAAGCGGACAATATTGTGCTACGGTGGTGGACCGGGCCCGGAAAATGATTCGCCCCGGGCTGGGATGTGATAATTTGGTATCAGAGGGACAATATCGTGCTACGGTGGTGGAGCGGGGCCGAGAAGTGATCCGCCCCGGGCCGGGATGTGACAATTTGGTATCAGAGCCTAACCCTGGCCGTGGTGTGCCGACGAAGACGTCGGGCTCCTAAGGGGGGTGGATTGTGACATCCCACATTGCCCAGGGGAGTAATCCTTATATGTATATTCCCATCCCTACCTAGCACGATGCGTTTTGGGAGCTCACTGGCTTCGGGTTCCATAGGAACTCCGAAGTTAAGCAAGAAGGGGGTTAGAGCATTCCCATGATGGGTGACCCACTGGGAAGTTGCTCGTGAGTTCCCAAAAACAAAACCGTGAGGGAATGGTAAGCCCAAAGCGGACAATATCATGCTACGGTGGTGGAGCGGGCTCGGGAAATGATCCGCCCCAGGCCGGGATGTGACAGTTATGATTTTGAGAATAGTTTATATTATATTGTTGTTCTTTTATATTGATTATTATATAAGTTTATACAAGCAAAAAATAAACATATGATTTTATAGTACTATTTTCAATTAGCCCACCCAAGGAAAAAATCTTGGCTCCGCCCTTGTTGGCTTGCTAACTACATTGAATATGGAGCAAGAAATATTTTCTTATGAGCAAGACAAGGCTAGAGATGAAGTAAAGACGAGAAAAAGGAAATTAAACAGGCAAGAGATGCAAGAAGAGAATGATGAGGATATTATGTTCCGAAGCCTCGAAATATATCCCCTAATTCAAAACATTTTAGAGAAGTGAAAAAAAGGTTTTCCAACGAAGACGAGGAAATTTCATACACTACAAGAAAAGAGGGAGCAAAGCACCACTGATTTTATTCTCTAAATTTAATTAATTTTTAGTTTGTTAAAATTAATTATTCTTATTGTATGCTATAATTTTGTCTTGTATTTGAAATAATTTATTAAAATCATAAATTATTTTATTTTCCAAAAATAAACTTTACAAAATTCCCATTTATTTTCAGAAAATTATAATTATAATTTTTTAATGGTAATCGGCGGGACCCTTCGCCCTTCCCCTTCCTATATGTGTCACCATAAAAGGGCAAAGCAAAGAGCGAAGGGAAGGCGAATCTCAAGCGGTTTCGATAGTCAGAGCTTAACCTGTTATACTCGGAATCGTATTTCTCGGAGCGAATTCTCACGAAGGTACACAGTTCTTCTCATCTCTCATCTCATCGTTTGGTTTCCGAGAAAATTTGCGAGGAACGAATAGGAACGCAGAATTAACTTTTATTTTTGAACATTTATTTCATCCCATAGAAATTTCAATTGATTGTCTGTAAAAAAAGGACACTTGAATTTGTATTTTCCTTAATTTTGCAAATTTCGCTTGGCAACTTGATTGATTGTTGATCTTGCGGGAAAATTTGAGTAGAATCTGAGAGTATTTTTCGCAATCAGAAGTGGGAAATTAATTTGGCTAATTGGGTAGAAATTGGGATTCTTTGATACGTGTTTAGCTGGATCATTTTGATTATTAATATAAAAAAAATTAGACAAGAAATATGAACTGAAATTTGATCTTAGTCTAGGTGTTAGTTTGTGTGTACCCTAATTATGCAGTAATTGAATGTTTAGCTGAATTATGTGATAATTTAGTTCACTGAGGTTTATCGGAGGGAAAGTACTCAACGAGGTAGATGCATTATGAATTGGGGTTAAACCCCTTGGTTCTACCGAATCATGTGAAGTTATGAACATTCAATTATTTGTTAGTATACACTTGCCAGTAAAGGTGACCCGTGGATTGCGGTTGATTTTTCTGAAATGGTTTAATAATGATTTTAGCGCAGTGACATTCTAGAATTCATACAGCCGATCCCACTTAGTGGAAAAAGGCTTTGTTGTTGTTGTTGTTATCGTTGTTGGTTTAATATTGATTTTAGAATGGTAAATGGTTGCAGGGAATTCAATAGTTGATATTTTGACTACAATTACTTTTTGACGCTTATATATCCAAACATTAGCATCCTATTGTTTATTTGTTAACATGAGTTTAATTTCTTTCAAATTCTTCCATAAAGTGTGAGATTTCTATTTTGTACTATCAATCATTGATAGCCAGTAATTTGAGATACAATGAGCTTTGTTTTTTGTTTTTTTTTGTCTAGATATTTTATTTTATTAAGAAAATATATTTTTGCAAGAGGCCTTTGTGATAGGTTTTTCCTTTTTTGATCTAATTTATCCTTCTAGTATACTTCTGGGTGGACCCCTACATGTCTTGTACCGTTCAGTAATAGTGATTCTTGAATGTTTGACTCCAGCCATCTTTTTCTAATCTATATGTTGCCTTGTCCATGTTTATTTCTGTATACCTTGTGTTTTCTGTTGCATATAAAATTAAACATTCTTTGTAATCTACAGGTTTTATTGAAAATTTGGAATTTTTTCTGAAGACATGGAACAGTCTCTCACCTCTCTTACATACAAAGGTTCCATACCTGAAGCAATAACTGAAGCAAAGAAGCAGAGGAAACTCTTTGTTGTGTATATTTCAGGTGAATGATTCTTCTTTTGATTTGGTTTGATTTTTTTTTCTTTTGTCTTGTTTTGTTTTTGTATTTACCTGCAGAAAATGTGGTGGTGGTTCTTTGCATTAGTTTAGTAGTTCTGAGAGACTTTCACTATTCTACGGGATGAAGGGGACTATATTGCTGAATTTTTAGCTGATTAGCAGTAATAATAAACTGTTTAATGCATAAGTCAATTCTTCTCTTGGGTCACCGTGTTCATACTGTTTCTCCTGAACTTCATAATTTGTTCTATTTTCTATCAAAGGAAAGAAAGACAGAAAAGTAGTATGAAGGGATGGGCTAGAGTGTTGAAAGAGAGAGAAAAAAAAAAAAAGAGAGAGAGGAAACTTATTTCTCAAAATGATATAGTTTTAATTAATTTTATAACTTAAAATTATTTCTTAAAAGTTAAAATAAGGCTGTTTAACTAGTAAAGGATTAAAGTATTCCATAGATTGACATTGCAGTAGTACAGATATTTGTGCACCTAGTATCTTCCCACATTCTCACTTTATACATAGTATTAGTAATTCTGTTTATGCTGTATTTTGTGCGTTTATAATGCACCTTCTGTCTTGTCGTGAGTTACAATATTAATGTAATCGACGGCCACACGTAATTTATGAAGAATGAATAAACTTGCACATATTACATTTCCTTTTTCCTTTTGTTTTTTATACTGTACAAATATATGTAATTATTGACTTTGTTATTACGCTTAATATGTATATTCATTTGTTTTTGTTTTGTGGATCTTCAGGTAAAAATGACGAGTCTAGTCGTTTGGAAAATTCTACATGGACTGATCTAAATGTAAGTTGTGTTCCCTTTCTTTTAGTTTTCTATTTCCTTATAAATTTGTTTCATTTTTATATTCCTGCTTTGTATGTTTTTCTTATGTTAATGTTTTGATTCAGGTGGCGGACTCAGTAGAAAAGTACTGCATTTTATTGCATATCCCTGAAGAAAGCACTGATGCTGCTAATTTTTCTGCAATATGTATCCTTTTACAAAAAGACGACAGTGCCTAATTCCTTCGGAAGTTGTCCTGCTGAGCTATTGTCATGCTGCCACATGATAATCTGAATCAACTAGAGGGGAAATACATTGTTTGCAGGTTATGCTGACCAAAATCTTAAAGAAACATTGTAGTAATTCATTAGGATTGTAGCTGTCTTTTCTCTTTGTAGGATGATCAAGAAACTGCTGTTTCTACTGTATGCTTACCCCCAACATCCCAAGCTTTGGGCAGTGGCCAAGTTGGGCCATAGTCTCATGGCACCTCGTTCAGAGATATTAGGAACTACTGTTATTCCCTATTCTGATACTAATCTCCCTTATTAACGAGTCCACCACCTTCTTATTTGCAATTGCTTTTCCTTTGTACCTGTCTATCTCATTTTATAAATCCAGAACATTCACCTTCCTGCAGAAAGGAGGAGTGAAGAAAATCCATGAGGTGTCGGAATTAATTGTAACTTGAAGTTGCAGCTTTCCTATGTTGTAGTTTTGAGTTGGTAGTTTTAAATTCTGTGGTTATTTGTTTATTATTTTCCTTTTTTATTCACTATTGCTAGTTTCAGTGACTGGTGAAGCTGTTTTATATGTTGCACATGCCAGTTGGCACATTTGCAATTTTCTAAATTACATGTTTTGTGTACGGCTTATTATAAGCTCTTTACATTAATTTAAAATCAAAAAGTCTATCCTTGCATCAACATGTCACAGACCCACAGAAATCTGTACCTTGTATAACAGCTATTGGATACAATGGTGTACAACTTTGGCAGAATGGTATGCTTTTTTCCGAATATTTTTAAGAATAATATACAGAGGAACACATAAGCATAGTTTAAGAATTTGGTTTGTCTTTTTAGAGGGTTTTCTCAGTGCTGAAGCTCTGGCGTCCAGTTTAGAGAAGGCATGGTTGGGTCTCCATATCCAGGTATATTTTCGTTGTTTTCTTATTGTAAATCATCCTATTTACTGTCAAATTTACTTTGAAAACACATCAATGCTTGGCAAGATGACATTTGTAATGAGTCTAATGACCTTGTTGTGCAAATGGCTTTGATCCCTTTTTTTTTTTTTTTTTGTTTTACAATTTATTGTAAAGGTTAAATTAGGTTTCAATTCTGTGTTTTATTTACGCCATGACATATAGTTATCCCCCTCTGACTGTCTTCAAAACCAAGATTGGGGTCAGTGTACTACGCTTCTCAACTCAGACTTGTCAAGATCAATTCGAATCATATCAAGTAAATTTCCCATTTTTCTCTTCTTTCATCTTTTGTTTACCACACCCTGCAGACACAAAACTAGGTATGAGAAAAATACCAAGGAAAAGGGGTAACCTGACTCACCCAGGTCAGTCTGGGTTGGCCTAGTTTTCACTTTTTGAATGGATTAGACCAGGCTGTTCTTTGAACAATATGATTAATCTGGCTCGGATTGTGCATTAAGTTATATGAACCGTAAAAACCAGCTTCAACTGGTTACCATTATATGTCAACATTTTATGTAGTTTGCATGCTGAAGACTTGAACCTGAGACCTGCGATGGCCAGCTTGTGTGCTTCACCCCTGGATAACTGTCAGCTTTGATTTTAAGCTACATCCGCATTGTATATATTGACTCTAGTGTTCGAGTATTTTTATAACAATAGCTCCAATCCCACAGAGACACACAACCAGTGCATAGTATCCATTGGACTCCCGACAATGTTCTGACTACTGATAGCTTCTTTTGAGATTGAACCTAAATAGTATGGAAACTATATCATGGGGTGATGTTTCAAGAGTGGGGAAGTGGTGAGAGCAAAGGGTCCGAAAAAGTGTCCTGGATATAGCTGGGTTGATGCACTAAGGGTTGTTCTTGAGTCCTTGGAAGAAGATTGCAGGTTGCACATTTATTGCTCATAGAGAAGCAAAGGTAGCAAAAACATAATTTCGCATATTTAGATGCATTTCTTGATGGGTAAATCTGAAAGCTTGCTTACGTGCATGTTGCAGTGCAAATGCATGTTGTGTGTCATTAAGAAAGAGATGTCAAGGTAGTTCTCAATATAGGATTTGGGTGTGGCGAAGCAAATCCTTAGAATGCGGAATAATTGGGGATAAACCCAAGAGCCTGCCCCATTACTCCGGTGGTGGATTCTCATGTTATCTCTCATAACAACCTCCTTGCCTGGACTGTCTGGGGTGCACACCGCATATCAACATATGACAATTTTCACAAGAAGGGGTTACACCTGCATTTAACTCCTATATTTCCATTTCTCCATCCAACTGTCACCTTGTGGATTATGAGCTGGTGCATGTTGCTTTGGCCTAGCTAAGTGAGGTGTATTTATCACATAGGCTTATGCCTTCTTGATCTCAAATTATTGTTTTTGAACACAAAATACTTGTCATTTTTTGAGCCCAATACTAGACAACCTGTCTGAACTCGAAATCAAATGGGTATGTAGGGTCATTTGTTCCAACTTTTAATTCGGTTTTAGGTTCTCTGAAAAAGTTCCGGATCAAATCGATTCTACGGCCTGTTAGGGCTTGAACCTGAACCTACCGGATTTGTGCTGACCTATTAGCTACTTTATCATGTAAGCGTTTGCAACATCAACATTATCTCCTCTTTGAAATCACTGTTAATGTTTGATGAATGCACATTAGCTGAGAAGCAGTAGGGATATCCATTTGATTTGTGACAATACTCTGCAGGTACTCTTGACCTTGGCTATATGCTCCAGAGCCTCACTCGTTATTTAGAGCTTACATGACCAATGACCATGCATTTTCTTACCTTAAATTTAAATGAAACAATGACCAGTATTATCTGATATTCAACTGTAGGAAACAACTGCAACTGTATTGAGTGCAGCTCTTGCTTCAAATAAATCCGAACCATCGACTTCTGGGGTTCCTAATGCTGTCTCAACTGGTGAAGAAAGTTCCTCAAGTAAAGCTGTTATCTCCGATGGAGGAAGTTCCTCAAGTACAGCAGTGGAGTCTCCCTTAATTGACACAAATGTTCAATCTCCAGACGCTATAGATGCTGCATCTGACACAGTGATGAAAAATAAAGGTCGTGATTGTAAAATTGAGGTACATATTGTTACCTGCATTCACTGCTTCATTAATCATTTAGTATTTGCCAACTTTATTAACTAGGACATGGACCTGTTTTTCTTTGATATAAATACAAGAAAAATAATGATTTAGGATACAAGACATTTTCAATATCTTGTGATGCTAATGGGTTAGAATGTGTTGGGGATGAACAGTCCAGCTCTTCCACCAAATCTGCCCAAGGAGTACATGATGTTGCTATGGAAGACCTGAACAAGTCTGGAGGTGATATTGTTAATCCTGTTGCTGAAGGTGGTTATAGTGGCCCAGAAACGACCACTGTTAATCATTCATGTGTCTCAGGAGAAGGTTCACAAGCAGTTAGTAATGTAAAATCTGAAGTTGTACAAGTTGATAAGGGTGAAGTTGAAGATGATAAGAAGGTTGAGACCTTCGAGAATTGTACGAGGGTCAGCAGATCAAGTGATGTTCACTTGAATATACGATTGCCCAATGGTGTCAGCCTGAAAGAGAAGTTTTCTATAACAAGCACCATGAGAATGGTTAAAAACTATGTTGATGAAAACCAAGGAAGTGGTATTGGCAACTATGATCTAGCCATCCCTTATCCTCGCAAGATATTCTGTGATCAAGGTAAGAAATTCTGGATCGTTATTACCTATCTTTCTAAGTGCGTTATCTGCTGAAAATTTGTATGTGGACTGGTGTCACTTGTGTTCCTTGTATCCTGAAGTTAATGTAAAATAGATAACACTGCCTTCTATCATACTATCCTTTGTTCTCTGGCCTGCTAGATTATGGGTGTTTCTTCTTGTGTTCATTTCTATCTGTTGTCCATGTACTTGCGAGCACAATGTAAATGCATTCTCGAACTAAGTTTGTGTGATGTGAAAATAGAATTATCCAATGATTTGGTGGTTCGTTTCTTCTTTGCCTGTTTAGATTATTATGTCTTAATATAAACCTTAACTTTTTATTGTGTTATGCAGATTTAAGCAAATCATTATCAGATTTGGGCCTGTTTGACAGGCAAGCATTGATAGTGGTTCCACGTCAGAAAGGGACTGGTTATCTGAGTGGGACATCTGCATTCTCTGACCAAACAGACTCGAGAAATACTGTTAGTTCCTCAGATGGAAGCAATGGGGGATATTTTTCATATGTGAAAAGACTTTTATCGTACTTTAATCCTCTTTCTTATCTGGGCAGTGGTGCTAGCTCATCAAGTTCGGGACAGCAATCCGAAAATGGCACATGGGAATATAGTGAGTTTCTGCTCTCTGCTGTGATGCTATAATGTTTCTTTTACATTCTCTTATTCAGCTTAGGAAACCTTTTTTATTTAGTGACTTTCGAGCATACAGAAATTTAGAACCCAAAAATCAAATAAAAGAAACTCTAATAATCTTGTATAATTTTGGCTTTTGTCGAAGAGTTGCATCTTGAATGGGGACGACTCCTCCATTTAGCTGATATTTACGATAGAAAGTAGAGCAGGGCATAAAATCCTTTAATAGGTCATAGTCTATCTTCTCCTTTTATGAACCAAGATATATAACATCTACTCTTAGAAATTTTATACATGACTGCTAGTTACCCGGGTTCACGTGGCTCCTTTCGTATTCGGTTGGGACATTGGGTTTAGTTTAGTTACTCTGGCTAGTAAAATGATGTCAATTGCTTGTTTGTGGTACCCAAACGAATCGTGTCAATTCAACACAGTAAGCACTCGCCTACTTGCATAGCGAGATTACCATGAGTCTTTGTTGTGCACTTTCTTTCCAAAGCAGCTTTTTGATTGAAGTTGCAGAGGTTGGCAATTGAATTTTCTGTTATACTGACAGTTTTGCTTTCTCATTAGGCCCAAACCCTACACGTCGGTATAGTGTCACTCAAAACGCTTCTACAAGTGGTAAAAGTGAGGAGAAAAAGAGCAGGAAGCCACCAGCATCTGGTTTTGGAAGTAACATTCACACTTTGAAACGTGACGAAGATGATGAGCGGTTCAGTGATAGAAATTCCTTCTGGAATGGTAATTCTACCGAGTATGGCGGCAACGATGATGGTAAATAATATATTCATACACCATACTGAGATATTTTAAACTCAACCCTGTGCTTGGCCACAGCTGCTTCACTGTCTGCTTTCTGCTTTGTAGATAATAAGTTCCACTGTTTGAGTTTTTGGTTAACGTTTAGTTGTTATTAACCGTATAGGAAGGGTTGTAACAATAATAAGTCCTGTGAAATAATTTGGAACTTGGCACAAAACGGAGCCTAGTGGTGTTTTAGAATTCATACAGCCGATCCCATTTAGTAGGATGGCCTGGTGGTGGTTGTTGTAAGGCTTTTTTTTAACTATGCCTTATGGAACTCTATTTCAACTTCATTTTGCCTCCTGCAATTCAAAAGTCGTCACTTAACTCCATGAAACTCATAGTTAGCTCTACTATGAGTTTCAGGGACAAAGTGGAGCGAACTATGAGTTTCAGGAGGGTAAAATAGTGATTTTTAAGTTACAGGGAATAAAGTGAGATTTAAAATCAAGTTCGAGGGAGCGTAGCTAAAACTACACCTTGTTGTAATGACCGATACTCCATGGTTGGTTTCGGCAGTTGGGAGTTTCATGTGTATAAGGGCTGGTTTGGTATTGCTGTGCTTTGAAAAAAAGCTGCTTCTGCTGTGCTGTGAGAATAAGCAGCTGTGAAATAAAGCAGCAGAGTGTTTGGTAAACTTTTTTGTAAAAGTGCTTTTGAAAAGAAAAAAGCAGTATTAGAGTGTTTGGTAAACTTTTATGTAAAACAGATGTGAAAAAAAGCCGGTTTTTCAAAGCTGGGTTTTGCAGCTTCTTGTTTTTGGTTTTTTTTCACCCAAAACTGTGAAAAAAAGCTGAAGCTGAGTGTTTACCAAACACAAAAACAGCTTCCAGCTTTTTTTTATAGCAGCTTTTTTCAGAATCACCTCAGTACCAAACGAGGTCTAAATCTCTCTGACAATTTTCAAAAATTTTGAGGCTCAAAGGTTCCTTGTGCTTTAATTTGCGCGTCGGACCACCCAACCTCAATACAAAGGGCAGTTTTGGGTGACTCATGAATTCCTAAAAGAATTTCTCAACACACCAAGTAATTTGCTATCATCGTCTTCCATTCCATGAACAATCAAACCCGCATGCAGACCTTCGTTCCCCCACCTCATTTTCACGCAATTTTTTTTTCTTATTACATCAATATTTAATTAGAGGGAGGGGGTTCGGCTAAGTCATACCATGAACAACCTCATTTGGTATCGAGTTTATCATCTACGAAATTCAAACTTAAACCTCTCGCTTTCAAGTAAAGATGAATACCATCAGATCGTAGTACTAAGTGACTTAGGCTTGGTTTGATACTGAAATGATTCTGAAAAAAGCTGGTATAAAAAAAAGTTGGGAGCTATTTTTGTGTTTGGTAAACATTCAGCTTCAGCTTTTTTTTCATAGTTTTTGGTGAAAAAAGCCAAAAACAAGAAGTTGCAAAACCTAGCTTTAAAAAACTGGTTTTTTTTTCATATATGTTTTACATAAAAGTTTACCAAATATTATAATACTGTTTTTTTTTTTTTCAAAAGCGCTTTTACAAAAAAGTTTACCAAACATTCGGCTGCTTTATTTCACATCTGCTTATTCTTACAGCACAGCAGAAACAACATTTTTTTCAAAGCATAGCAATACCAAATTAGTCTTTAATCAAAGTTTTCTAGAACCTAATTTATCACCCAAATATTTTAAGAACAAGATTTGTTTACCTAACAAAGGATTCAACGATTGAGTAATACCGTAATATGTTATGCATCCGTGCGTCAAATGTGTATCAATCGAATCAAAACAACACATATACACACAGAGGGAAGGGAAATTCAATTTTTTTTTTCTTCAAAAAATAGGGATTCGTTGTGGATTATCAAACTTCGATCCGAATCGTCTGCTCGGTATTACGCTTCTATCGAAAAGGCCTTCGCAACCAAGCTTCCTGCCTATTTCGACAAATTTCGAAGAGAGCTGTACTCTCGAAGCGCCGGGGAAGGCTCTATGTCCCTCTTGCCACCGATCATCATGTTTCTCCTGCGATTGATCGTATCCAGCTACCTCGGAGCCCAATCGCAACTTATTCAAGAACGGCAATCCAAGCTCCACCGCTGCTCTCATCTTCACCGTTGTTGCGAGCACTGGCAACTTCGTCCATCAAGCCACAGTCGAACGATTCCGCTGCGGCCACAGTTTCTCTTCTGGACACGAAGAGAGTGATTCATGCTTCGACGATGACCACTGCTCTGCCGCTACTCCGTACGCACTCGTTCCCCGATACCACGAAAACTGAACGTGAGGTAGTTCTTAATTCGAGTTTCATTTCAGCAAATTCGGAGGCTAAATTCCCTTCTCTTTTGACTGATAACTATAGTGCATAACTGAAAGATAAATTTGGATGGGTTGATTGGTATCTTGTGGGTAAATTTGTGAAGAAGAATTTTGTTTGCATTGCAACTGTTTGATGAAATGTCTAAGAGACAGAATGAAGACAATATGTTCATTCAGCCACTCGTTCATGTTATTGGAGTTCTCCATCTTGACTGTCTTGCCATACAGCTCCGTTATTTTGATTTAAATACCTTGGTTTTGAATATGGAAGTACAATTGCATTAGGTAGAGCTTTTGCTTGTTCATCAAATTTTGGTCAGAAGCCTATGTTCGGAGCATTTGGGGTCAATCTTGCTCAAACAGGTCCTTTTGAAAGTACAACTCAAGCATCACAGCCAGCATTTGGGGGCAGTATAATTGGTTCCTCCACGCCAATTGGTGCCATGTGCTACTGCAATGGCATTTGGGATAAGGGCGGAGGCTCCAAATTCAACAAAATGCAATTGAAGATGGTGGTGGCTCGAATAAAGCTGCTGTGGAACAAGGGGCGGGTGGTGGTGAAGCAAATGAGGCCTGACATTGCTTGCTCCTTCAATCTGGTCAAGATGACACTGCTCGAATCCGAGTAGAACATTTGATCCGAGAACAGAACATTTTGGCTGCCAATGAGTTCATTGAGTGAATTAGTAGAATCTAGACCTTCCATCATCACAAAGCAAAGGGAGTGTCCGCCTTATCTCAAAGAAGGAATTGCTAGTTTAATCTTGGCCTCTCCCAGGTGTTCTGAGATTTCTGAACTGATCGCACTAAGGGATATTTTTGAAAAAAAGTACAGTAAAGATTTTGTGTCTGCGGATGTTGATGTACGTCCCAGCTGTGGTGTGAATCGCATGTTGATTGACAAACTCTCTGTTAGAACTCCTATGGGCGAAGTAAAGTTGGAACTCCTGAAGGAGATAGCCAAGGAATACCAGGTTGAGTGGGATACATTGGAATCTGAACAGGAGCTGCTCAAGCCTCCAGAAGAGCTTACACAAGGACCGCGCAATTTTGTTAGTACTACCAGCAAGCCTGTGCACAGTGTGCAGCCTCAGCCTGTTGAGACGAATGAACAAAACACTAGTTCTTCATGCATGACAAGTAGTGGTGGAGAACACAGAACAAGTAGTGGGGGTGAAAGAGGACATATGCAGTTTGTAGACTCAGCATCAGCTGCTGAAGTAGTTATAAAATCTGCCAGTGATGCAATGGCTGCTGCAGAAGTTGCTGCATATTTGGGCAACAAAGACTGCAATCAGGACATTGATATTGTATCTCTCAAGAATTACATGGCTGCAAAGATGTTAGAAGCCATAATTAGAAACTTGAAAGAGATAACTTTCAGGGAATGGGAATGGCAGTGCTCAACCTATGATATTCAGGTAGCAAATGTGTCGATTGGAGCTTATGCTGAACAGGGAATGCTAGGGGAGACCAAGGAGCTTGTTCCTGGTGACATTGTGAAGCCTAAGGTTGGGGATAAGGGGGCCACTGATATGCGTGTTGTGGAATTCATTTGCTCAACTTTGAGGGTGGAGCAAGGTTCATTGACAGGGGAGAGTGAGGCAGTGAATAAGACTAACAAGCCAATCTCTGAGGACACAGATATTCAGGGGAAGAAAAGTATGGTTTTCACTGGGCCGATTGTTGTGAATGGGAATTGCCTATGCTTGGTTGCAGAGACAGGAATGTCGACTGAAATTGGGAAGGTGCATATGCAAATCCATGTTGCCTTGCAGAGCGAAGAAGATACCCCACTTAAGGAGAAGTTTAACGAGTTCGGAGAGATACTTAAGATGATCACTGGAGTAATTTGCGTATTAGTGTGGTTCATCCATGTCAAATATTTCCTTACTTGGGATGATAAAATAGGGACCATGACTACAAACCAGATGGTAGTGGCAAAACTTGTAGCTTTGCGCCCTAGGCCTATTATACTACTGAAGTTTAGGGTGGATGGAACTACATACAATCGAATCCACTTGATGGTGAAATTCATGACTGGCCAACTGGTCGAATGGATGCTAATCTTCAAATGATCGCAAAGGTAGCTGCTGTCTGCAATAATGCTAGCATTACACAGGCAGGACAGAAGTATGTTGCCCATGGAATGCCTACGGAGGCAGCTCCAAAGTTTTTAGTTGAGAAGATGGCCCTTCCCAAAGAATCCAAGGGTGCGGAATCATCAAATGAAAGGGATTTGCTTCGTTGTTGCCAGAAGTGGAATGAATTTGAATGCCGAAGTGCAACCCTTGAGTTTGATCGTGATAAGAAATCCATGGGTGTAATTGTCAACTCTGTTTCAGGGAAGAAGTCATTGCTAGTGAAGGGTGCTGTAGAGAATTTGCTTGAGAAAAGCACCAAGGTTCAGTTGCTTGATGGCACTGTTGTACACTGGATGATAGCTCAAGGAACTATATCGTGCAAGCTCTTTATGAGATGTCAACTAGTGCTTTGAAACCACTGAATGATGCACCTGTTTTGAAACTTGCTGGCATTGGGATTGCAATGGGCATATCTGGAATTGAGAACCAAGTCCATCAGAAGGGAATGTGCTGCTGCTTTCAAACAAGTTCCCACATCCATTTTTTCAAGCCTTGTGGACAAGGCTAATTTTTAAGGAGGAAGTATTGTTATGAACCTAAAATAGGTCTCAATTGTGATTGTCTTAATCGGTGATTAAGAGAGTTAATTGAAAGTTTTATGCTTTAGTTTTATTAATAAGGAGTCTGTATAAAAGAAGCCCAGCTCCCAGAAGACAGATCAGATCAGTTTTTACAAAGAAATCAAATACAAAAAAATTATATTGGAGCTTCCTCCTCCTCTCTTCCTTCCCTCGTCCTCTCTATCCTCTCTGTTACTTGCAGGTTGATTAAGGGCTTAGAGATTTGGATCTTATCAGTTTTGTGTACTACTTAAACTCTATGTATTTGCTTATGTCTAGGAAAATTTCTGGAGCATAGCTATTGCCTCTTTGTTATGCAAGCGATATTAGACATAAAAAGAATAGGGAATCTTAGTGAAACACTCTTTGTTATGCAAAGACTCTTGGTAC